TCTCTATATATATATATATATATATATATATATATATATATATATATATATATATATATATATATATATATATATACATACATGCATACATACATACATACGTACATACATACACATACATGCATACAAATAAACATACATACAAACATACAAACAAACAAACATGCAGGCTTTTGAAGGGGTAGTGGTGTACATAAATAGCGATGCTTTTACCTGCACTATTTTTTCACTCTCTTCAAGTTGCTATAACAAGGGGGGATTAAAGAGATATGCCAGTTCGCTTTTTGTAAATTTTTATTTAAAAATCTACTTTATATAAATTTTATTTTTCAGTTGACATCGTTAAAAAGACATAGTTAAAATAATTTAATTTTCATACTCGATTGAGAAGATTTTTACTTTTTAAAAAATATCGCATGGTCTGCAATGAGTGAGAAGTTAGTTTTTGATTATTCATTCGTTCGTTCGTTCGTTCTTTCATTCAATCATTCATTCATTCATGCGTTCGTTCGTTCGTTCATTCAGTTACGGTATCATAATAGATTGGGTAATGCATAAATTCTTCTTTTAAACCACGGATTTATACTTTATTTTACTTTGATTCATTTAAATTTTGACTGACTCAATTCTAATCTTTCGCTCATTTAAACTTTTAAGCACAGCCACAAAAACGAATGAAGATAGAATGAAGAATAATAAGGGGGAGGATGCTAAGGAGAGGGTAGAATCAGGAGGGGGTGGTAGGTTGGACTTCTGGCTGAAAGAAAGCATCAAAGACGTCAAATTTTCTGACGAATACGTCATCGACAGGGAGTTAGGCAGGTGGGTCCTTCTCTCTCTCTATTTTCCTTCTCTCTCTCTATTTTTCTTCTCTCTCTCTCTCTCTCTCTCTCTCTATTTTCCTTCTCTCTCTTTCTCTATTTTCTTTCTCTCCCTCTATTTTCCTTTTCTCTCTCTCTCTCTCTCTCTCTCTATTTTCCTTCTTTCTCTATTTCTCTTCTCTCTCTTTATTCTCCTTCTCTCTTCTTCTCTTTCTTTCTCTCTCACACGCTCAAAACCATCAGTGTTATATGACGAATATTCTCGAAATATACATAATATGATGCGTTTGTGTTTGTGTGTGCGTGTGTATGTGTGTGTGTGTATGAGAAAGAGAGAGAGAGAAAGAGTTTTAGTAAAGATGACGATGGTAATGCCGATGATTATGATGGTGATTTATGGTGGAACAATCGATAACATCACGTCATTCATTATAAGTTACCATAGCTACCATGGCTACACAGCCATTTAAATTATCTGATTATCCAGTAAATGTCCATTTCTGGTCGATCCTGATGATGATGACGACGATGATGATGATGTTAATTAAATGTATGTAATGTACTATAGAGGAGATATCTTCACGAGACGAATGCACACCTGCTCTTTTAATACCATTCATCCATTCATTCGTTCTTTCTTTTTTTCTTTCTTTCTTTCTTATTTTCTTCCGGTCGTTCAGTCATTTGTTCATTCGTTCATTCGTTCATTTGTTTGTTTGTTCGTTTGTTCGTTCTTTCGTTCATCCATTTTCATCTTCAAAACATTCTAACTGTGGAAACAATGCTCTACAGATTAACATGACGTTATAATTACCATTATAATTAATCAACACACTCCTATCATTATTACTGCTATTCTTCTTCTTCTTCTTCTTATTATTATTATTATTATTATTATTATTATTATTATTGATATTTGTCTATGTCACGAAACATTGAGATATGTTCTCCGTGTAGCTCATCATTACTTATTCACAAGTTGGTGATGATGATCCCATTTGTAGATTCCTCTCTCTCTCTCTCTCTCTCTCTCTCTCTCTCTCTCGGTGATGATCTCATTTGTAGAGCTCTCTCCCTTCTCTCTCTCTCTCTCTTTTTCTGTCTGTCTGTCTCTGTGGTTGTCTCTGTTTGTCCCTGTCTGTCTGTGTATGTTGGTGTCGGTTGGTGCATCACTGCATGCATCACCTTGCGTGTATTTGTTTTATTTTTCTTTCCTATGCTGGCAGCCGATGCAGCTACATACTGAGCCTCTGCAGTCACGCAATCCCGTAATTAAGATATATTTGTAGCCCATCATACGGCTGAAACCAGATTAAAACCAATCAAATACATTCATATTTGTTGTCCGTCCATCTAACAACCAATCCAGATTAAAACCAACCAATCAAATTCATTCATATTTGTTGTCCATCTAACAACCAATCATACGGCTGAAACCAGATTAAAACCAACCAATCAAATACATTCATATTTGTTGTCCGTCCATCTAACAACCAATCATACGGCTGAAACCAGATTAAAACCAACCAATCAAATACATTCAAATAAAATATCAACCAATCACAATGAACCCCCGCAAACCGACCGACCAATGAAACGCAACAGAGGAGCCACGTCCATAGTTTACAGATGCAGGTGCAGGCGAACTAGCAAGGAGTGGGCGGTGAAGATGATCAACAAGAAGGTCGAGAGAAGGATTGTGGCCACTGAAATCGGTGTCCTACTCAAACTGAATCATCCTAATATCGTGAGTTGACTGGTGGATTAGTGATGTTAAGAAAATAGGGATGTGCTTTTTTTGAGTGGGGACGTGTTTTCGTCGTAAAATATTGTTCTGATTGAGAAACGAATTATGTTTCAAACAATGAAATCATATCCCTTTCTACAATTCTTTCTTTGATTCATCAGAAGCATCGACAACACACACCAACAAACACACACACACACAAACAAACACGGCTCGGGGAAATATGCCGAAAATAACGCATCACACACATTGCGTGTGATAGGCGGGAACTTCTTTGAATTCGAATCCGATCACTGCAATATCACGACCAGGCACCTTAACATCCATGCCATCTCGCGTGCATTTACACAGTTCAACTTCCAGTTTGATTCAAAAACTTCACCCGAAGATAATGTTGAATGTGTTGGAATCAAATGTCAGATTCGTCTGAAGGAGGTTTACGAGAGCACTGCAGTCATCCACATGATTCTCGAGCTGGTCACCGGGGGAGAGCTGTTCGATAGGTCATTCATTCATTCATTCATTCATTCATTCATTCATTTATTCATTCATTCATTCGTTCATTCTTTCATTCGTTCGTTCATTCATTCATTCGTTCATTCATTCGTTCGTTCATTCATTCATTCATTCATTCATTCGTTCATTCATTCGTTCATTCATTCGTTCGTTCGTTCGTTCATTCGTTCGTTCGTTTGATCGGTCCATTCGTTCTACCGCTATCTCACTATTCATTCCTTTATTCATTTGTCCATTCATTCATTTAAATAATTTATTCAAATTTATACAAATTTATGAACCGAACCGACCAATGAACGACCAGAATCGTCTCGTGTGGCTTCTACAGTGAGAAGGAGGCTATCAAGTGCGTCAGTCAAATGCTGGAGGCTGTTCAGGTGGTGGTGATGATGACGATCGTGGTGATGATGATGATGATGGTGGATATTTTTTTCCAAACAGGCGAGTGATGATGATGAATAAATAAAATAATATAATAAAAATAATAAACAAAATAATAAAATAATAAATAAAATAAAAAATGAAATAAAAAATAATTAATTTCTTCCTACCCTCAGTATCTCCATAATAACGACATCATCCATAGAGACCTCAAAGTAAGTTTTTCTCATTTATTCTATTCAATCATTCATTCGTTCATTCGTTCACTCGCTCATTCATTCATTCGTTCATTCATTCATTCGTTCGTTCATTCATTCATTTATTCATTCATTCATTCATTCATTCACTGATTCATTCAAACTTCATATATTCTTTGCAGTTAAAATCATATTTCGTTCTTAAACTTTAATATTTCTCATTTTTTAACCTAATAAGATAATCATAAAAACAATAATAATAATAATAGTAAACATTTTTCTTCCAACTTCATCAGCCGGAAAACCTCCTCTATGAAGATGAGTCTGATGATGCTAAGCTAAAAATAGGTTACATTGCCGTCAGCCAATCAGCGAGCGGCTTTTTATTTATGAATATTAATCCATACTACTTTTCATATGTAAATTATTTGAAATATTGATTAACAACATGAATAAATTATGTTAATGAGTATATATTTATTTTTATTCAGCTGACTTCGGCCTATCGAAGATAACGGAGCATAACATTCAAATGCAGACGATATGTGGCACGCCTGGCTATTGTGGTAGGTCTCCATGTCTGTCTGACTGGCTGTCTGTCTGTCTGTATGACTGTCTGTCTGTCTGGTTATTTGTATGTCATCCGTTTTTTCTTATCTTTTTTACATGTCTGTTCTTCTAGCTTTTGCTCGATCTTATATTTACCAGTCTTTTAGCACAGACAATGATGATGATAATAATGATGATGATGACGACGACGATGATGATGAAAATGACGATGATGAAACAGCACCGGAAGTACTGAAGGGACATCGATATGACTCGTCCGTGGACCTCTGGAGCATCGGCGTCATCACGTACATACTGTACGCTAGTAACTAACTTGCTCATGACTCGCCATGATAAAAATTAATTATCTAACTAAATTTAATAATTATTTGATAAATTTTAATTAATTCGGTGAGATGATTGAAGGCTTGGCCAATAAGATGAACGGATGGTTGACCAGAAAAGACCAATCAACCATCCAATCATCTTATTTCCAACCATTCGATCATCTCCCTGGTCCAATAATGATATTCCTATCACCTTATTGGTCGACCAACCATCTAATAATGATATTCCTATCATCTCATTGGTCGACCAACCATCCAATAATGATATTCTTATCACCTTATTGGTCGACCAACTATCCAATCAGTTTGTGCGGGTATGAACCCTTCTACGGCAACACAGAGAATGAAACTTTCAAAAAAATTCTACTCTGCCAGTACGTCTTTGATTCGCCATGGTGGGATGACGTCACGGATGTTGCCAAGGTGATGATGACGATGTTGTAAAAATAAGCTGATATACGCGTGCATTTGAAACCGGTTACTGAATAATATAAATCTAAAAAAATTGACATAACTTAACAAATTCGAAACAGGACTTTGTGTCTAGACTCTTATTAGCAAATCCCAGCGAACGTATGACTACCAGCCAAGCACTGCAACATCCATGGCTCACTGGTGAATTGTTGCTGTGTGAATTGTGAATTACCGTCTTGGGTTTGGTTGTGAATTATGAATTTTTGCTGTTTCTGTGTGAATTTTTTTGTGGTTTGTGTTATGCTGCCGCAAGGCTGGTTTGATGGTGCGTCCCGAACGACAACTCAACAGGCAAGGACAAGGTGACGTTCAAAGAGCACCTGCCAAATGTCAAGGACAAACTGAAGGACTTCAACGCAAAAAGAAAACTCAAAGTACATTTATCTTGTGAAATTAGGCTTCACACTAACAACCAATACTGCAGCAGCAGCAGTAGCAGCAACAGCAGCAACAACAACAACAATCATAATAATACTATATTTGAAATTTAAGTAATAATAATGAAAGTAATAGCGAGCAATCATGGCTCGATGAATGGTGACGTTGAGGCGACTATATTTCAATTTCGATTCAGGCTGCCACCGATGTACTGATGGCCCTGAAGTTCCGCCATCCTCATCCCCCAAACGATGACGTCATTCCTAGTGATGTGCACGGAGAAGATAAATGTGTTATTAGTCCTGCTGAAAAAGAGGACAAAGATCAAAATGAAGATGCTGGTGACGGTGATAAAATTGATGGAGCTACTGGGGATAAAAACGCAGAAAGTTGTAACGGGGATGAAGAAGAAGATGGTGGGGATGTTGATGATGGGGGAGGTTGTTGTTGTGCGAGTACCTCCAATCAACAACCGAGAGCAACATCCCCGTTCTCAGCTGCTGCCAAATGTTCTTCGAAATAAACTTTTTAAATATTTTCTGTTGATAGTTTAGTTACTTTTGTGTTGTTCATTAAATGTTTTATCAGGTGCGCGGTTGAAACGTACAGTGTTGGACGAAATCATTTCATTTTAATTTCAAAAATATCAATTTCATGGCTAAAGATGGTTGTTGAATAGGAGGAAAACTAAGCTACACAGTTGCACTGTGTCACATCACACGTCTTTCTTCAATTCCAAATATTCAATTCATAACTACGATATATTTTTTGAGATTTCTTACAAAGTAAATGTCATTTGACTATTAATAAACTTAAAAACAATTATACTTTTTCAACTTCAATTACAAATACTATTTAAAAAGTTTTAACCGCATTCAGGTTTTTGCTTATAATTTGTTAAACCCAAAACAGCCTTTGGCGATTTTATCAGCTCAAACGTTTTCACGTGCTTCGAGGAAAACTCTGAATGGATAGCCATACAAGGGCTTATGGGGTTCGGCGAATTTAAAAGACCCCTCTGTATACGATGGCCAACCACTGATTATATTATCTGCATATGTATTTCTTTTGACTGTTTTTTAAATAGGTACTAACAGGCCCACCAGGAAATCTATGATGCATTCTTTCCAGGGAAAGAGAGGAAGAGGAAGAACACCAAAAAAATGGATGAATTGCAGACGTGATCATCCAAATATGAAATGACCTGCAGAAGAATAACGAGTGAGATTTTAAGAACTGACAGGATTGAGATTGATGGAAAAATATTATGAGAAAATCAGCGGCTGCATTTAGCTGGTGGATGAAAACATGGCCTGACATATTGAACACGTGTAAGATTTGGATATAGTAAAATTTTTAGTGTAACGTAAAGAAAATTAAATTTTTAACTAGTGTTCACTTTTAAGTAAATAAAAGTAAATTAAAGTTTTAAAGATCCTGTTTTGTGTACGTCAAATAAAGAAATAAAATTAAATAAAATGATCAACAAATTGTCAAATAGCCTGTAATTATTTTTTTAAAGCGCGTCCCAATTTTATTTAATAAAAAACAAAATGCCCGAAAAACCATTTTCAGTTTCGGAATTCCTCCGAGAAACTTGGGATGACTACAACTCGCCAACAACTTCAAACTTCACCTCAAAGTTGGGGGTCTGCAAAAATTTTATCGGCCAGCATGAAGAGGTTCACTCATTTTTTTTTTGTCTTCATTCATTCATCAGCGAACATTCTCTTTTCAAATGCTCAACAAATCATTCACAAGCCTAATTTTCACATTCTTTCTTTTATTTTGATTTTTGGGTCCATTTTGTTGGCTTCACTTATTTTATTTTCTTACAAAATCTTTTCACTTTTTAAACTAGTTTTTTTTTTTTTTTTAAACTAGTAACAAAAGATTATTTTTCTAATTTTTAAAGGCCATAGACTTTGACAGAAACAACTTGACAAAGTTAAAAAAATCATTGAAAGCTCTCTCAAGCTCTGGCAGTCGTAAGTCCCTCTCTGACCATTTTTATTTTTGCACCATCTCATGAATAGTGATAGAAATAGATATTCATTCATATAATAGAAACTCTCCAAGTTTAAAATAAACCTAATTTTTTTTTCCTGAAAATATGCTATCAAATATGAACAACTAACACCTGAATATCAATATTACAAATTAAAATTTATACATTTTAAGTTTTAATTCATTAACACTTTTTTAATATTTTAATATTACAAATCACAATTTTTTCATTTTCAGTAACTTTTTTTTGGCACTATTTAAACCACACCACATTTCATTACATGAAAATCACATTACATTAAAACATGTAAATCAAACATTTTCTCCATTCAGTGCACGTATCAAATGAGACATTGATAGCAGAGAGTTTGTTGAAGTTGAGTCAGGGGGCCCAGCACGAAGATGACGTCGGCATCATGACTGCCTATTTCAAGTTCTCAGTCGTCACAAGGGAACTTTCTGTACTACTCAAGCATCTAGTCTGCCAAATCTTTTATTTTTATTTACAATTTTAAACATTTTTCAGTAAATTTATCATTTATTTGTTTGTTTGTTTATTTGTTTGTGTATTTTTCAATTATTTATTTGTCTTTTTATTTAATTAAAATAGTTCTTCTATCAAATAATTATTACTAATTGCTTAATATTTTCATAAATTGTTGGAAGACATTACTTAATTGAGTAAACCATCAAGTTTCATTTTGTACACTTAATTTTAAGAATATAATAATAATTATTGTCATAATTAATATTATCTTAATTATTATCATCATAATTATTAATAATAATCGTTTGACTGACACCGCGATGCAACAGATGCAGAAACTGAACAACTCGGTGATGTTCAGTTTGGACAACTTCTTGAAAGGTGACCTGGCCGGGGTGAAGGGGGACCTCAAGAAACCATTCGATAAGGCATTCAAAGAATACGAAATCAAATTGTTTGCCACGTTTCTACTCTGTATCAATTAGATAATTAATTTTTTCTTCGTTCTTTCTTTAGTATGCACAATGCATGTGAATAATGCACTATAGTGAATAATGCACTATAGTGAATAATGCACTATAGTGAATAATGCACTATAGTGAATAATGCACTATAGTGAATAATGCGCTATAGTGAATAATTCAGGAACACACACACTGCATGTAATGAATAGGGGTCTCTTGCAATTGAATCTGGTCATTGCATTACCAGTGCCAGGAATCTTAACCATTACACTATAATGCTGCTCATTTATTCATAATTATAACTTTTTCTATTTAACATTGACTATGAACTGGTTATTTTATTTAGAAAGATGACTTCATTTTTATTGCTTTGACTATTTTTTGTATGCGCGCATGTGTGTGTGTGTGCGCGCGTGCGTGTGTGTTAGTGTGTGTGTGTGTGTGTGTGTAAAAGGAAAAGAAAATTTCCTTCAAAATAGTTATAATTATGTTGAGTTTGGACTGCAACCGTTTTCTGCTTAGTGGTTTTTTCTCTTAAATTAGTATCCTCGATTGCGCTTCTTGCCGGTTCTGTTGGCAGATTGCTGGGCACATTAATTACATCAACCCATTCCGTCGCTGGTTACATTTTGTGGACGACAAAAATTCTCATAAAATATTTTTTTATCTTTTGTGAATTTTATCATTTTTATCGCTTTGACTACTTTGCAGTAGCAAGATAGAGAAGGAGAAGAAGCAAATAGCTAGAGATGCTGGTATGATTAAGACCGAAGTCACGGGGCCCGAGGTAATTGATATGCATTTTTTAGGTTAATCAATATTCATTGTGAATAATTGACGTGCGTTTAGTTGATTGACGCTAACTCATTAACATAATTTGTTACAAGGTGGCTGAGGAGATGGAGAGGGAAAGGAGAGTACTGCAACTGCAAGCCTGCGAGGTAAATAGACAAAATAATTATTAAATTGATTATTTTTAAATTGCTAGCAACAAGGGTAATAAATAAATAAATCAACGAATGTAAATACTCTTCAGTACCTGCTGAAGGTAAATGAGATAAAAACGAAGAAGGGAGTGGACTTGCTGAATCACTTTGTGGAGTTCTACCACGCTCAAAACAAGTTTGCTGCTGCGACTGCTGCTGTTGTGGCTGCTACTGTTGCGGCCAGTGGTGGTTTTTTTGTTTTTGATGGTGGCTTAGTGTGGAGATGATGATGACGACAATAATGATGACGTTGATGACGAAACCACACACCATCACCCAGTTACTTCCAAGACGGCCTGAAGACATTGGAACATTATCAATGCTACTTTGAAGAGCTCACCGTTGAGCTCACAAAACTTCGCACTAGACAGGATCAGGAAAAGAAGGAACTGGCCGAAATCAGAGATGTGCTGAAGAAATCTGTGGCAGCCTTCAATAAAGATGTCTCTATTTACTTTATGTTTTGTTTTTCGATATCTTTTTTAATACTGCTGTTTTCGAAGCTTCATTTTTTTTAATAATAATAATAATAAAACCAGATGACCACGCAGTCGAATGTGCAGCAGCAGCAGTCAGTTTACAGGCTGCACCAGCTGCAAGGCAACAAGGTTTTTGGCTGCGAGAGGACAGGCTGGCTGCTTAAAAAGAGTGAAGGTGCTGGCCATGATTGGAATGATCACGATTATTATTATTATTATTATTATTATTAGTAGTAGTAGTTGTAGTAGTAGTGGTAGTAGTAGTAGTAGTAGTAGTAGTGGTAGTAGTGGTGATAGTAGTAGTGGTAGTAATTTTAAATTAATTCAGTCTGACTAATTGCCAAACTTAACCTTCAGGAAAGATGAGAAAAGTCTGGCAGAGGAGGAAATGTTGTGTTAAGGATGGGAACTTGTATATCAGTCATTCAGATGTGAGATTTCGCTCGTTTTTTCATTCATTTATTTGTTTTTTCATTCATTCATTCTTTTGTTTATTCATTCATTCATTCTGCTAGCCGTTCGTTCATTCATAAATTCAAACATCTATCCATTTATTCATACATCCGTCCATACATTTATTCATTCATTCGTTCTTTCATTCATTCATTCACTCATTCATTTATTCATCATTCTTCCTTTCTTTCTATTATTTGTTTATTGTAGTTTCACGTTCGAGTCAAATATTAAGATAATTGTGAGTAGAAGTGAGCGGAAGTTGAAATTTGTTCCCAATCCTCTTCCATTTTTTTCTCATTTCTGATTCTCTCCCGAATTCCCTGTTATGACAACGTTCTTGAAAATTTTCATTCCCTATTTTTTAACTCATTCCCGCGTTTTCCCTCTCATTCCCTCCCGATTCCCATTTTACCCATTTTCAAAATTTTTGAACACAAAAATCTCAATTTTTTTTAAAATTGCAGATTCACAAACACGTCTTCATTACCATGCAATGTAAAAATTCAAAAGTCATAAATAAAACTTTAATATTTAAATTAAACATTTGGTCGAAATAGTGTACCGCATTAATTAACAAACATATAAATAAATATATAAATAAATTAGATTTCAACTGTTTCAGACACATTTAGTCATTCGAGGAATAAAAATAAGCATGAGCCAATCCCTTAGCCAGAAGGCCAATTGTTACGTAACATCAATGTTGTTGAAAGCCTTATTTAGACAAACAAATAGTTAGATGTAAATACACACAAAAAATACTAATATATAACTAATTTAAATTTACTAATTTCATTGTAATCGACAAACAAAACTCCGAAAATCATATCGATGTGTTAAACTAAACGTATACGTAGCTGCCCGCGAAATTTCTTTCTAGCTTTCTTGATTTTACGTGATTTTACATCATTATCTTCTTTGTAAACAGACACGTGTGGGCCTATGTGTATGCGTCGATCACATGTGTACGAGTATACATATATAAATGTGCTGTTTATAGACCATAATTAATGCAGTAATTTTGGAATCTACCGAATTTCTAGATTTCAAGCGTTGGATAGTTTTTATTGCACATATAAATATATATTTATTTTCGCACGCAGATGTCACTTTTTCCCATTCTCGTCCGTCATTCCCAATTCTCGAGCTTTGGTTCCCTATTTCCTAAAACTCCCATTCCCGAAAACTAAGTTTTACCTATTCCCGTTCACTTGCTCACCTCCAATTATTGACTAATTATGATTCGTTCATTGATGAGGATGATGATGATGACGATGGTAATGATGATGATGCTGATAGTGATGCTTGCACTCATCAACACACAACAAACAGGCTACGAAGGATCCAGTAAGATTGAACTTGCTCACTTGCCAAGTCAAGGTCAGTCTGTTGCGAATCATCATTATCATCATCGTCGTTACAACTATCATTATCAACCACACAACTTCCATTATCATCTTCACCATCACCATCATCATCAGTTGATTCCAGACGATCCGGGCAGGAAATGTTTCGATTTGGTGTCCAGTTCGGAAAACAGGACGTACCACTTCCAAGCGGATGACCCCCAGGAGCTCGAGGCGTACGTCTCCTTTCTTTTCCTCCTCTTCCTTCTCTTTTTTCTTTTTTCCTCCTTTTCCTTCTCTTTTTTCTTTTCTTCCTGCTTCTATTTTTTGTTTAATGATGCCTTTCGTGGTTTTGTACATCTTTCTATAAATAATAAACTTTAAACGTGTGATAATCACGATAGCAATGATCAAAATGATGATGGAAATTATAAACGCCATCAATATCTTCCACTTTCTTCATCATCTTCCTGCTACAAGTTTCCTCTCATCTTAATTGTTTTTCCTATTTACCGCCACGCACAGTTGGACGTCGGTCCTGAACAACGCAAAGAACTCGATCCTCATGAAAGCATTTCAGTCTCCAGCGGGACCCACTTCTCCGAGCCACAGATACCACCAACAGCAGCAGCACAGCAAATCCTCATCATCCACTTCCTCCAACCCCTGCCTCATGTCTTCCACATCCACCTCTTCTGATTACTACGATCTGAGGTTACAGGAACTTTCGAAGGCAGTCCTTCAGAAGGTCAAACAGCTGAAGGGCAATGATAAATGTTGCGATTGTTCCTGTCCAAGTATGTTTTTGCCATTGCTGATGATGTTTTGCATCGTGTGTGGTTTGTATGTGTATGTATGCCGTGTTTCTTCTCTCGAGAACTTTTCAAAAGTGTATCCGGATAAATTTTTTTTCTTTTATTCCAAATTTTATTTGACATTCAGGCAATCAAGAAGTTAAGAATAAACTTGTGCTGATTCCCTTAAATAAATGTGCAAATAATGAATAGATTTATCAATAAGAAACTGAATGGTTGTTAATGTCAACATTAAAATTAAAACTCATCCTAAAATTGACAAATTGAATAAATTTCTGTACCAATTTAATCAAGCAAACTAAAAAAAACTATATTTAACGAAATCAACGGAAAAATGAAACAATCAATTTCAAATCTTGCATAATAGTAATAAAAGAGACAGATATTAGATGAACAAGATTTATAAATTAAATCATTGAAGACTAGCTGTGCTGAGTAGCCTCTTTTTTTATAAAACATTTGAAGTTATTAATAGACGTTACTGGAACTTGGCCACTGACTATAGTATTCCATAATTTAATGCCGCTTATAGACCAATTTCGATCATTTGTTGCGGTCCTTCTTTTCATGGAGCCCGGCATACCGTTTGGTCTAGTTGATGAAGATAAATATGTGAAAGTGTTTAAGAATCTGTAGTTTTCGTAATGACATGAAAGTAAGAGTAACATAAATGTTGATATGTTCAATGTTAAGTATTTTATATTTAGAAAATAAGAGTTTCCTGTATGATCATACCTTTATAAATAAAAACAGACGCGTAAAAAATATTTTTGTAGTGCTTGTAATTTATTAGCTAAATATTTAAATGTATATCTCCAGAATACGTCGCCATAAATGAAATATTGATAGAAAAAGGCATAATAGATCGTTATCATAGTGTTTGGTGTTAATCTATTCCGCAATTTATATACAATGCCAATAACTTTGTATAATTTACTGATGGCTATATTTACGTGTCGAGTCCAATTTTAATCACTTTGTATAATAATTCCAAGAAATTTTTTGGAGTGAACACGAGGTAGCTCATTATTACCAATCCTTATTGTTAAACTTTCAAATATGTTACTGTTAGTCTTAATTTTGGGTCCGAAAATAATATAGCATGATTTTTTACATTTAAAACCATTTTGTTCAATTTAAAATAATCATGATATTTTACAAGCTCTGTGTTCATTTCTCAAAACAACAATGATTAAATAATTGCACTGAACGTTTGCTCGCCTAACTAACCAACCTGCAGATCCGGAATGGTTGTCGGTGAACTTGGGCGTGTTGATATGTCTGGAGTGTTGTGGAGTGCATCGGGACATGGGGGTCCACGTATCCAGGACGCAATCCATCGTCATCGACGACATTGTTACCTCGCAGCTGCTCGTGCGTCTTCATCTTCTTCCTCTTCATCTTCTTCCTCTTCCTCCTCTTCTTCCTCTGTCATTAGATGCGCCATGCTTCTCTAATCAAATTTCATTCGTCATTTCGCTAATTTTTGTTAAAAATTCTTTCGGTTGGATACATTTGATATGATTTGTTATTTGAAACAACCTTGTCATTCATTTCATTTTCGTAGTGTTGTTCGTTTACACGTCACTATGCCTGGATGCCTGCATTCAACTTATTATAACTTTTCAACGCTCACAAATTTTCATTGAAAACGATTAAACTCTAATGTGACATTGGATCTTGATAAAAATTCATGAAACCTCATTACTATTCATTAAACTCAATTGAAATTCAAACCACCTGCTCATTTATATTCATGAATTCAGCTGGCCAGGGTGATGACCAATCAGGGCTTCAACGACATAATGGAGGCCACACTCGATCCTAAATACAAGCCTGAGCCTAAGAGCACAATGTTCATAACTTATTTATTTATTTAAATTTATTTTATAAATTTTTTTTTTGTTCTCCATTATACATGTTCTCAGAGGCGCAGAACCGTCATTAGCGTCATCTCGCCATTGATTAACAGGGAGGAGAAGAAGCATTTCATAAAGCAGAAGTACGAGAAGCGCAAATTTGCCATCGTGACGAGCGTCGAAGTTGAGGACAGGCGGCAGGATCTGAAGCAGGCCATCTACGCTGGCGACATCTACGCCCTGCTGCAGGTCTACGCTGAGGGAGTCGACTTCATGGAGCCTCTGCCCGATATGGTCGGTCGATCCGTCGGTTGGTCGGTCGATCCGTCGGTCCGACGAATATTCGTATTTTTACGCTTATTTAACTTTATTCAAAAACTGCTTCTAATGTTTAGATCTAATTTGCATATTTAAACATATTTGCATATTTAATGTAATTTGCATATTTAATCCAATTTGCATATTTAATCTAATTTGCATATTTAATGAGGTTTTTATGACGCAGGCAAACAAGGAGAACGCTCTGCACCTAGCCATCAAGCAGGAAGATGGCTACCACTTGTTCATCGTTGACTTCATCATCCAGAACACGAGCAGGTAGTTTCAAGTCTATCAGTCATTTTGTACCTGAAGAATTCGTACATTCGTTTGAGATGCATCACCTTTTGCTGCTGTTGGTAAAAGTCACTTTCACCCACCCCACCCTACCACAGCAAAGAACTTGGATGTCAGACGAGCGAAGGTAACAACGCGTTGCACCTCTGTGCCCTTGAGGACAAATCGGAGTGCATGAAGTTGGTGTTGAGGTCGAACCCCGGCCTATGTGACTGGTCGAACAAGGCCGGTCAAACTGCCATGCAGATCGCCATGCAGAGAGGCAGTGACCTCTGCGTTGAGTTGGTCGGTTGACTGGTTTCATTTTCTGCTTACGAAATAGCTTTTATTAATTTGAAAATTGTTTTGCAAAGTTTGATGAAGAAAAAAATTGTTGAACGTAAATTTCTTTTCAAAATTTCAAACCGCTCAACGTATGCTTGTAAGATTTTATAGTACACGTTGCTCACTCACTCATTCATTTATTCATTCATTCATCCATTCTTTTATCCATTCATTCATTTATGAGTTTTGTAACTATTGCAAGTTACAGAGTAACTTGGGGTTGTTTATTTTGGTGGACTTATTTTCCAGTTACTAGCAAAAATTTAAAAAATTGAATCCTTAAATACAAACGATAGTCGCCAGAGCATTTCTTCCCGTTGTTTCAACTCTGTTCTGTAAAGTTTCACTTTCAGTTTTGCAAAAAATTCCCCTTCAGATAAACCATGCGCTGGCTGGGAAGTCCGATATGTTTGAACACGTGAACATTGATTGGCAGTTCGTTCAGGTTGGTTTCAATTTCTCTGTCTTTGTCGTGAAACTCTTTCATTTCTTGGAGTGTGTTTGTCTGTGTGTGTATGTGTGTGTGGTGTGTATGTGTGTGTTTGTGTCTTTTAATCAATATTTTTTGTCTCGAGAGAGAGAGGAGAGAGAGAGAGAGAACTTTTTTTTAAGTTTATATTTAATTTCATTAATGAATGTTGCAACACGATGATGATGGGCCTAACCTCAAATAATTAAACCCGCTACAATCAGGATGATCTGAACCATGACATGGTTGACTACAGTGATGATGATTTGGACTGGGTTAGTTCTTTTTTCATTCATTCAATCATTCATTCATTCAATCATTCATTCATTCAATCATTCATTCATTCAATCATTTATTCATTCATTCATTTGATCACTCATTCATTTTTACTTTCATTCTCTCGTCGCAACATTGAATATTTGGCACCCTGGCAGGATACCATAGCGTCATCGTCGTCATCTGCAGCAGCAGTTGGACCAAACAGCAACGCCAGTACAATAACCAATCGAACAAGATCTAGACCCGGAAGTTTAGTGATGACGTCAGAGGCCCTCAATACTCTGACAGCCAATCAGAGATCGCTTACAATCGACAACCTCCTACCACCGCAGCCAATGCCAAGGATCAAAGGATCAAGCGTCCAATTAGCAAGCAACAATTTGAACTCATCTCAAACTTCATTGGTCAACAACGGTATGAACGATTCGACCAATAGCGTGCAATCTCACTCGGCGACGACAACGATGCCAGCCAATCAGCATCATCTCTACAGAAAGAAAGGTCCGCCCCCTCCGCTCCCGTTGAACATCAACAGCCGGAGTCACATCAGGAATCCATCTGATCCTGGACTCAATAGGTCCTTCATCGATCCATTCATTCATTCATACACCCATTCATTCATTCATTTATTTATTTATCTATCCATCTATTCATTCATTCATTCATTTGTTAGTCGCTGGGTAGTAATAACGATAATAAAATATCCATAAAATTAATGAGAACAACTAAATGAAATGAAAACAACTTTTAATTTGTTGCAGAATGAACCACTCTGTACTGTTGGAGCTAAGGAATCATAGAAGTACGTCTGCTTAGTCTCTCTCTCTCCCTCTCTCTCTCTCCTCTCTCTCTCCTCTCTCTCTCTCTCTCTCTCTCTCTATATATATATATATAACTTACACAAATTTAATTAAATTTATTATTCGAATGGCTACACACCTTGATGCTAAACAAACAAACAAACAGACAAATAAATAAACATACAGTTAACAGATAAATCGAAACGATAAACATTGTATTATTATAAATTATAATTAAATTAATTTTTTAACAAAAATTCATCTAGGGGATTCAAGTTCTTTGGCTCCAACATTATCAACAATACAAGGAAACAACAACAATAATAACAACAATAACAATAAAAATAACAATAATAATAATATTCCACCCGCTCTTCCCCCAAAACCGAACAATCGCCTAAGAAGCCAGATGCTCGATCTAATGATTGACAGTCCGCAAGTCCTTTCCCCGACGTTTCACACTTTCCAACCGACCAATCAGAACAGAGAACCAACCAGTGCTTCAGCCAATAAAACTGCTCCTTTTAGCTACCTAACTGGTATCAACAAAAAGGTCTTGTTGATAAACTTGATGCTATTTTCATAAATCATGCTAAACAGTTGAGTAAATTATGATAATGAGTTAGATAATTGTCGTATATTTCATATCAGGATGCAACATTCCACGACAGTTGAATAAATTATGATAATTAGTTAGCTTCTATTTCACGCTAACCCACAAAAAAACCACAAGCAGCTTTCAACGATAGCAGCCTCGCCATCGTCGTCGTCGTCTGCACTCGTTACGTCATCGTCGTCATCAGCCTCAACAACGACAGCAGCTCACGGTAACAACATCAGCAGCAGCAGCAGCGGTGGTGGCAGCAGCGGCTTCAGGCAGAGATACGTTGCAGACCACAACTGTGAGGCGGATAATGAAGATGAACTTTCATTCGGAGAGGGAGAGGTCATCCTCTTCATCAGAGAGGACGATGAGGATTGGTGGGTTGGTATCGTTTCCTTTGTTTCTTCTTATTGGACGTCGAGATAGTGTAGTGGTAGAGCGTCGAGCCTTGTTGCGTTGTTGTCGGGTCCGAATCCGTTACGCTTCAGCATGCGTATGCTGTATGTTTGTTGAAAGTTAAAAATTGCTATTTAACGCCTCGGAAATGGAACTATATGACAGAAATTGATTATCTCTCAATAGTATCATGATCCTCTCTATCGTTAGTATCATTACATCATCGTTATTCATCTTACTCATCATCATCGCTATCTTCATTATTGGTGATTCACTGATGTACATGTTGTACATCGTCACTACCATCATCTGCTTCCATTTGGCACCCAATTACATCCAACAAACCCCATAAAAACAGGAGGGGGAAATTGAGGGAGATCCGAGGAGAAGGGGCCTTTTCCCGGCCAGTTTCGTCTCCATGCTACCTAACAACCCTAATCAGCATCATCAACACCAGCTACAACAACATCAACATCAGCAACTACAACAACAACATCATCAACAACATCAACACCAGCAACAACAACAATATCAGCAGCAACAACATCTTCAACAACAACAACAACATCAGCAACAACTACAACAACAACAACAACATATGCAACAACAACAACATCAGCAACAACAACAACATCAGCAACAACAACAACATCAGCAACAACAACAACATCAGCAACAACAACAACATCAGCAACAAGTAAATAACATGGACACATTTTGAGGGTTTCTGAGAGGTCGTTGTGACTGGCCTTGGTAGGTAGATAGACGCCGTGTTTGTCACGCCAGCAGAAATGAGTGGCAAAATACATTTCATGAAATTATGTTCTTGCGTTTTAATTTTATTTTATTCAAACCGAAATTTACACCAAACTCCATCATCTCCAACAAACCATCGGTCAGTTTGGTGAGGTTCATTCTTCATTCATCGTCGTCCATGCCTCTTTCCAATGTTCAAATTCAATTTGGTGCTTATTAATGTCTGTGTTTGCCTGTGTGTGTTTGTCTGTCTGTGTGTTTGTGTGTGTGTGTGTGTTTGTGTGCATACATCCAATAAATTGTTTAATGCTCATACATCCCACAATAACAACATTTCATCATTTTCAGTTTACTGCTATTTTATTTTTCTGCTGAACTATTAATATTATTCTTGAGCTAATGAGTGTGCTATGTTACGATGGAACTGTAAATAAGGTGGCAGTCGTCAGAAGATGCCGAAGAACATTGCATGGGAGGAATGTTTAATTGTAAATATTTATCAACATCCTTATTATTAATTATTATTCCACAATTCCTTCTTCTCTGAACAGCCGATCTTTTGATATTTGTAATCATAATAAATCCACGTTACCCGTTCAGACAGACTTTACGACGATGATGACCATGATCCAGTTGCTATATCACTTTTTTCATCGTTGTTGGATCTTATACATCAACCTTAATCATTGTTAATCATCTTAATCATCAACCATTGTCAACCTTAATCATTGTTAATCATCTTTATCATCAGCCATTGTTCGTACAATACTGTAAATTTAATTTGTATACATTAGAGCTATGCAAATGTTGGTTTGGATTTTTTAACGACGACTTAACCCCGTCAATTCGTTCATTTGCTCACAATAAATCAGTTGATGTATGTCACTCATATGATGATCAATCTATCAATTAATAATTCCCGTTATAAATTTTATTTTCTGTTGACATTTAAATAAATCTTTAAATGTTAATACTCAACTCCGATTGACTGACCTTTTATGGCTTTTTTTCCATTTACATAAATTCTCAATAAGTAGGGAAGAATTGTTGATTTGCACTTGCCGTTCACAAAAACAATCCACAACTATTTGATAATAATGTCTCGTAAAACTGTCTCGTCTGTTGTTCACCGTTCATATACGCGATGTTTGAGTGTTCATGGGTGAACATGAACGTGAACACCGATGTTGGTTTTTAGCTACTGAGCTTATTAACTGATCATACACGTAGCTACTGCATCAACTGAAAACTAACCTTCCTTCTTACCCACCAACATCAAAGTCACATCCTCGTACGAAGTTTCCAACAGCCAAATATGGCCACATCATACAACCCGGGTTATTTAAAAATTAAAGATTCAACGATCGAGTGACCGGATGGAATTTAAGGAAGTGGTCAAATGAATGATGAATGGATGAACGAATGAATTAATAAACAAACGAACGAAACACGTGATGTTAACAATGAAAACAAGAACGAGGAGTAACGATATATATATATATATTTTACAATATTCTATAAATTCTACCGAATGTTTGGCGTTAATATGTTTGTAGTTCGTTTTTTCAAATTTTCTCACTAAAGTTTTTTGGTGAACGTTTAGTTTATTAAAATTCAAAATAAACTTATTTTCCGAATTCATGCTAAATTCGGGAAATTTTCCGAATTCATGCTGCAAATAAGGCCAATTCAACTGATCGTCTAATTTGGCGCAAAAAGTTGATGGCAAAGAAAACAATGTCCTAACTCGGGAAACCGGGTCTCTGGACGCAAAACGAAGATTGATTGAAATAAGGCCATATTTCGATTCAGAATCTTCAGAAACATATTAACGCCAAACATTCGGTAGAATTTATAGAATATTGTAAAAATTATTGTCTTTTGCCAACATATATAATAATAATAATTATTTATTTATTTATATATTTATTTACTTATATATTTATTTTTATCTAATCATTCATTTTGTAAAAACAAACAAAACACGCACGAATCAGTCAAACAGTAAATTTTGCAACTGATTAATAGATCATCCTTTCGTTCGTTCTCTTAATCTCTCATTCATTCATTTATTCATTCATTCAATCAATCGTTTATTCATCCAATCGTTCATTCATTCATTCAATCGTTCGTTCATTCTCACAACTGTCATCTTCATCTTCGTCGTCTTCTTCATCTTCATCAGAATTTTTCTACCCTCAACTCATGTCATCATCAATCCTTCATCCCGTCTCATCCCATATCACGACCGATCCTCTTCCACTTCCCATTACGGATCATTCCAGACTCCATCCTCATCTTCATCATTTTCATCATCAAACCTTCCTCCTCTTGTTACTGGAATGATCTGAATGATGATGACCGTGCTTGCTACTGCTGTGTTCGTTTCCTTCGTTCGGGTTCCTCTTCTGCCCTCTCTTGGCCTCGTCCAAAAATTTGTTCAGACCGAACGGATCCTCTTCCTCCTCTTTTTCGAATTGCACCGGCCCATCCCTTCGTATCGTCGCGTCACTTCCGGAAAATGGTTTATCGGCGACAAATCTGATCGTAAAAATAATTTTTTCGAGTTGTAAAAATTTGAAAATTTATTTCAGTACATATCAAGTTTAAAGGAAACCAAACTTGCCGTGAATTTGAAACTAAGAAATCAGTAAAAGTTTCAACTTTTCAATATAAAGATAGAAAAAACATTTTGAATACAGTGACATAAGGAGCGATTGTAAGGTTTCACCTGTTAGACTTGATGAGGTTGTCTATGTCGTCGACCAGGTTGTCGTTTGAGACATTTTTGGAGGGCCTGTAAATGTGCGAGGCGAAATCTTTGTCGGACCTCCATGGCTTGTCATACACGTCGTACCTGTCGTCCTCACCCCCGCCGAATCCGGAATCGAGACCCTGCCGAATTTATGAGTAGGAAGAATAGGGATGTGACGAAGGAGAGGATATGCGACAAAATGCAGCAAGACAGATGTGAGATGATGTAGCAGGAAGACGTGATGGGCGACGTAATGGTGTAATGGTTAAGGTGCATGGCACTGATGATGCAGTGTGACTGGGTTCGAATGCAAAGAAACCCCCGCCTCTCAAGTGCAAGAGTGTGCAATGAGAGAGATTCAATAATAATAATAATAATAATAATGCGCCGCAGTTACTAGCCACGGCGCTATATAAAATGATATTATTATTATTATGTAGGATTGCGAACCTTTGATTGGTTGAAGAGTCTCTGGTCGAACATTGCGTCATCGTTGCCGCGGTTACCAGGGTTGGGCATGCCGAGGGCAATTTTCTCGCTTATGTCCCTCTCCCGTTCCTTCTGCAAACGATTCCTGCGTTAGGAAGGCGGTGAGTGAAGTGAAGTGAAGAGTGAATGATGTGAAGAGTGATTGAAGTGAAGAGTGAATGAAATGAAAGGTGAATGAAGTGAAAAGTAAATGAAATGAAGAGTGAATGAAGTGAAGAGTGAATGAAGTGAAGAGTGAATGCAAATAATTATCAAGTAATATAAAAACATGATGGAAATAATATTGGATAGTTGGCAGATGAGGATGGCAAACGCGGTAGCCGATTAACACGACACATAGGACTTAAGTAGTGGCAGAAGAAATAGATGATTGAGATAAGAAGAAGATGAAGAAGAAGTGGATCAGAAACCTCTTATCGGGAGCAGCTCTGCTGATGTTTCTGTCCCTCTGCCTTTCCTTGGCCAGATCTCTCCTCAAGTCACTTCGAGTTTGAAAGTCGGGGTCATCCACTTTGAGGTAATTAATTAATTAATTGATTAGTAAATTAATTAATTAATTAGTAAATTAATTAATTAGTAAATTAATTAATTAATTAATTAGTATTGATTTAATAATTAGTATTAATTTAATAATTAGTATTAATTTAATAATTAGTATTAATTTAATAATTAGTGTTAATTAATTATTTGTATTAATTAATCGATGTTTTCATTTTGCAGTTATTCATGAAATTTTCGTTTGTATTGGTCGGTTTTCCAGATTTTCAAAAATGAATTCAACAAATAAATGAACGAATTTCAAAAACACCACTCGAACCATCGTTGGCAGGAGCACTGGCGTCGTGGTTCGTCCCCACGCCAGCCCGTTGTTCCCTGGCCAGGTGGGCCAGCATCTTCAACCTCTCCTCCTTCGCCATCTTCTCCTTCTGGGCGGCCTTCTTCTCCATCTGCGCCCTCGCCTCCACATTCTCTCGAGCCTTCCGATCTGCCAGGTAGAGGGCTTCGGCGAGTTTGGAGAAGTTTTCGTTCATGTGCGTGGCCTGCAGTCCTCTGCCATCTGCCGCCAGCCTCTTGTCCAGCGGGATGGTGTAGCCCTGAGTTGTGCGGTGGGATAATTTTTCAATGAAATGAAAATTTTTTGGAATTCACCATCGAGGGTTTTTTTTAGAAAAGCAATCTGCGAAGTTCAACTGCAGCAAGAAAAACAACGCTCAAAAAACAAAAGAATGCTCTCCATTGTTAAAACTTTGAGGTCACAGCCTACTATCTAATGTGCAGTTTGCAATGTTAAAAAGCTAAATTGTTCTGCCTTAAACGACTATAAATACCATTTTAATCAATTAAACAGGCAAATCTGCTCACTCTAGCTCCAGTTTTACTTACCAAAATAATTCCAATTGATAATTTTAACTCTAAACTCAACAATTAATTCCAATTCATAACATTAAACTCTACAACTAGATTTAATAAAACTTGATGTATCATGATGCAAAAGAGTTAATTACAATGCAAAACAAGATGAGGATGATGATAAATCAGCCGCGATGAACATACTTTAGCATTCTTCCAGTTGGAAACGCAAGGCGGAATCTTCCACTCCTGTTGCTCCTTCACAGTGACCTTTCTGTTTGGGGAGTGGAGGACGGGAGCGGGGGGAGAGGGAGGACCGCGGGGGATCTTCTTGTTGGTCCTGGTGGGGTTGGGTTAGTGGGTGTCAACATCGTTACAATACCAAAATGTCATATTTGAAATCTTGACATCTAATCTCTCATTGTATACAATCAGCACTGTGCCAAGTCAACAATACATTGAGATTAGGGGCGCAAGAAATGATGGCGAACAAATGAATTGATGGAATGAAAAAAAGAAATAAAAATGATGAAATGAAAAAACATAAGGTTCTACCTAAATTTGGGAGGTTCCATTGGGTCCTGTTGGACGTCAATCATCCGGATGACACTCTGCTTGGCCCCCGAGTTGAAGGCCACACCTTGCTGGGATGGCGTGTACCTAAAACATTTATTACCATCACTCGTCAAAATAATGAATATTGTCAGGTGTCATGCCATGTCATTCGTCATATGATACAGTATCGTATCGTCATAATCACGTTATATAAACATTGCCTCGATGCAACATTCATGATACTAAGTATCAGATGCATTATGATACTCTATATATAAATATATATATATATATATATATATAAAATCACAAAAAACATTACCGAATACAATACATAAGTAATTTTTACATATTACTCCAGCCAAATCGACCCGAATAAAGATACAAAAGATGAAATGAGACGGGGCAAACATTGTAAAGAACACAGCCTACCTGATGTATTGCGCCTGTCCCTTCTTCTCAGCCGCCCTGACTGGCATAGCTGCCGAAATTTTGGCTGCTACCAATTTCTCAAGAGCATCTTTCGTCTTGTCCGTAATCTTGGATTAAAATATTTTCTCAAATTAATTACTAATTACAAAATATAAAATGAAATGTTCATACAGTCTCAATAGGACTTGTTAGAAATAAATGATTGTAAAAAACATTCATACAATGTTGTAATGTGTGTGTTTGTGTGCATGTGTATTGTGTGCGCGCGTGCGTGTTGTTGAAACCTCTTAGAAGTACATAAAGGAGAATCAATAATGAAAAAAGAAAGTGTGAGCAGACCTCTTTAACATAATCTGGATCGGGTTTCTGAATCGTTGAATCGTCTGGATCCAAGACTTTTGTCGTCAGGTCATTGAATCGAGAATGGACAATCTAGAAAAATAAAATGATTAATTACTGTTTTATAAAAACGATCAATCATTTTTCACCGACTTATATTTCTAGATTCACATAGTTAGTTATTAGATTCCATTTAACTGAACGAATGAGCAGGCAGTAATATAAAAGTTAATGAAGATTTATTTCTTATCTGAATTAATCATTATCTTAAAAGTAACTGTTCATAATGTTATCATTTCACAACTTTATATTAAAAGATGAAAAAAAGATCCAATTAAAATTTTTCAAAAGCTGTCTCATCTGAGTGATTATGATGAGAATAATGAGAATAATGACAGACTGAGATTGCATAATATTAAGCACCAAAGATAAAAAACAGATGAATAAAACTAACTTTATCTTGTCTATGCCCGACTCTAGCAATTGCATCGTACCTGACATTTCCTTCGGAGTCCACCGTTTTCGCGAGTGCGTTACTCGTCGACTTTTTTGATCCCATGCCGAGTGGGAATTGAGGAGTGTGAATTTCCGGGAACGCTCCGCCATCTCCGTAATCCTGGTTAATTTGGTAATCAATTTTAATTTGTTGTTGCAATTTTGAATATTTTACGTAAAAATAGAGTTATACTTTGTGTTGATGTTTTTGTTGTGTGTGTTTGTGTATGCATGTATGTGTGTGTGTGTACACAAGCTTCATATATCAAGAACAAAATTAACTTTTCCAATTACAAATCATTTAACAGCTCAAGAAAACTTATAAAATTTATTCATATAAATTTTAAATTAAAGAAAATCTAAATAATTTATTACTCCATTTTTTAATATTACAGTATAGATGTAAAATAATTTTCTAAAAAAAAAAAATTATAATTAAGACAAAAAAATGACTTGAGAATATTTGGAAGTACCTCAACTTTTCTGGGTATCCATCCTTTCCTCTGACCATAAGGCGGACACACTCCGATAACGGCCACGACTGATGATGTTATTTTGCTGGGGACATGTTGCTGCCGATCAACAGCCTGATAAACAGGAGGTGGAAGAACACTGCAACAAAAAATTTAACAAACATCAACATTAACATTAATTATTATTTATATATACTATAAACTATAGTTTAGTATATATTTATATTATAAAATGTTTTGTATAGTATGCAAAAAAAAATTAATTTATTTAATTTAAGGCATTTTTAGTGACAGCAGGTATCTAAAACTTTTGCCAATAGCAACCAAGTGGCATTCATGCAATGCCTATCTACAGAAGATGAGGTACAGAATAAATGCCACCATTATCATTATTATTAACATTTTTTAACTTTGACACATCCTGAATAAATCTAAGTATTGGAGCAGGCCATACAAGGTAAGTGGGTAAGTAGACTTTTAATCTTTTATTCATTTTTTTACAAAATCAATAAGTTAATTTACTTATTTAACTTCTTAAATTTAACATTTTAATAAGAATACTAATTTGTTAATTATAATTTATAATCCAATTCCAGTTCGCTAGAAAAGTGAGAAATGAAGGCCAGCACGATCGACCTAACAGTTAGGACCTAACCACTTCTGGTTAGTCCTAACACTAACGCTAACCAGAAGTTATCACAGGTAGGTACTAAGATTTTTATTTTATTTTAAAATTTAAATGAGAAGCATATTAAAAGAGAAATCGCACAAACTTCGTTAACGATTCCATAGCATAAGAATGACGCGAAAAATTAGAAAATGTATAATTATGTAATTTATTTAAAATAAATAATTATTTAATTTATTTAACGAAGAAATGATCCGACTCTACTCATTCCATAGCAATTGACAATATACTAAGTTGCTTGTTTATAAGAAAGACTATATATATATAAAGACATGTTGTATACATAGACCTTGTTTCTATAGAAAGCTAAAAAGATTATAAACTGGTTTGAACAAAGTAGTATCATAAAATGAATAAAGTTACTTTTTTAAAAAATTTTAAAAATGTTCAACTTGATTTCATTGCGATATTGATGATATGCTATATGATATCAAAGAAGAACATGCTTTCAGAAGAAGCAAGAAGAACCACAGCGATGATAATAATGTGAACATATTTTATTTATCCAATCGACACAATGAAACTATAAGATATTAAGATAATAAATTGTAACTAAATAATAATAACGTTAACAATAATAATAATAATAACGTTTTTAAATATTGTAAAAATAATATTAATAATATGTATTTAATTAAATAAATTAATTCGCGCTTTTCGGCTGAGCGTTGATATATATATATATAACTTTTTACTATATAGGGTACTAGTTACTTTTACCAACAATTTAAAAAAAATTCAATTTGATTTTATCGCAATATCGATGATGATGATTGTGACCTGACTGATTAAAAAGCATCTAAGAAAGTTAGAATAGGATGGAGAATTTGTTATATTGGGATATTCGTTTAAAAAGCGAGCAAAATTTTAATATAAAAGCGCTTATAAATCTACGCATATTGGCTCAGCTTGGCTTAGTTCGGCTTGGAATCGGATGTTAAGCAAGGTGTGGTCTCAAACTATTTTGAATTCTCCCCGAAAAATTTGAACTGCGTGCGTACATATATAGCAATGATTACTGTTGTTTTTATAATGAATTTATAAAATATATAAATATTGCAAGCAAAATTTTAACAAAAGCGCTCATAAATCTATGCATATTGGCTCAGCTTGGCTTAGTTCGGCTTGGAATCGGATGTTAAGCAAGGTGTGGTCTCAAACTATTTTGAATTCTCCTCGAAAAATTTGAACTGCGTGCGAACAAATATAACACTGACTACTGTTGCTTTTATAATAAATTTATATTATAACCCTATATATATATATATATATATATATATATATATATATATATATATATATATATATATATATAAAGTGAATGGAATCCATGTATACAAATAATTAATAAGATTTTATGTTTATATGAAAAGCAATATAGCAGATTCAACCAGCCAATCAGAAAGTTTCGAAGGCGTTCGTTCGATGACGTCAATTTAGTACAGTTAGCATTGTGGTTAAGGCTGTATAATAGTGTAGTACATACATTAAATAAATTTTTTACTGATGCGAATGATTTAAGTGATGAGAATGTATGGTTGAAACGAGTATAAATAGAGGAGCTCAGACAACAGAAAATCAGATCAGGCATTCTGCCTCGCTTGAAGCAGTCTGTCTGATCTCATTTATTTTATTTTTATAATTTTTTTATTTTTATTTATTTTATTATATAGAGTTATATAGAGTTTGCATGTTTGTAGGTGGTTTGAATGTTTGTAGGTGGTATTTTTTTTATTTTAGGTGGGTTCTTTAGCGGTTGCTCATACATACATACATCATGTTTGTTTGTGTGGTAGTATTTATGTTCTGTTTTACTACTTTTTCTCTTTCTTCATGAGTCTTGAGTTAAGTTAATGAAACATAGGTAGGTGAGATTGAGAATTAATTTATTATATAGGTAGGCTAGGGCATAAGGTAATTTAGTTACATAGGTAGGTTAGGGACTTCTTTTCTTTTACTCTTACTTGGTGGTGTGTTTTTCGTTTTGTGTGTTTTTTTGTTTTGTTTCACACCATACATTCAGCAGGTACGCGGTGGTTCCTGGTTTTAGTGGATTTTTATTGATTGAATGTGGTAGTATGCATGGTTATATAGAGTTATATAGAGTTATATAGAGCATAAATCCTATATAGATACCTTTCTTGGCTCTTCTTTTCTCTTTTCTTTGCCGACCGGTCGGTTTCTTTGCGGTTATTTTCAATTAAATTAAATAAATAAGATTTTTCCATTCATTTAGGTTTTTTTAGGTTCATTCATCCAGGTTGAAGCTTCCAGAGGAGTTCATCGTGGACGATCAGACTGGTTGTGATGTCATGCTACGTTCATTCTTTCAGTGGCAAAGAATGCACGACTGGCTGGGGTACGTTTTACGGTTTCTTTGCGGTTTCTTTTTTGCCAGCTGACTGGCTTTTCCGACGGGTTTCACCGCGGCTCGTCTTTCTATTTTTATTTAAATTAATCAAATAAATAAGATTTTTCCATTTCATCCATTTCATTCAGGTTAAAGCTTCCAAAGGAATTCATCATGGACGATGTCAGGCTACGTTCGTTCATTCAGTGGCAATGAATACACGCCTGGCTGGGATTCGTTTTATTCTTTTTTCTCTGTTTTTCTCTGTAATTTAACATTAAGTAAGAATGCTCACACGCACACGCACACACACACAATCACATTAAGTAGCTATATAGGTAGGTTAGATAGGCATAATTTTAACTGTAGGTAGGATAGATAGAAAGCATCCAACACTAATGTAGTTGAATAGGTAGGCGCGTAAGTTTATCTCTTCTACTTTTTCTTGCACCCACATTACACGCATCAGCGTATTTCACACACACACAAATACATACATAAACATATATTAATATTTGAGCCTAATTTTATTTTCATTACACATTCTAATTTATTATTACTAAGGTTGAGAGTAATTTAATTTCATAGGTAGTTAAGGGCAATAATGTAATTCTAGGAACAATCTTGTAATGTAAATTAAAACGCTGTAAGTGTATCGGTAGGTAAGTTAATTATTAAGTTTTACATTATTATTATTAGGCTGGAGCCCAAGGCATTACGTAGGTGGTGGGGTGGGTGCCGATAGGCCAATGAATTGGGCTCTTGAGTTTTGTAATTTTAGGTAAGCTAGGACCGTAATGTAATGAATAGGTAAGTTAAGGCTACGTTGTAACACACATTCGTTAATAGATTTAGGGTTTAAGTTTTATATTATTATTACTAAGTTGGAGCCCAAGGCATTACGTAGGTGGTGGGGTGGGTGCCGAAAGGCCAATGAATTGGGCTCTTGAGTTTTTTTTGTAATTTTAGGTAAGCTAGGGCTTAATTGTAATGAATAAGTAAGTTGAGGGTACGATAGCCGATAGACTCTGAATTTCAAAGTCTGTTGTCAGAGGTAGGCCTTGGTGGCCAGTGGTGTACCGGCAATGGTTTACTATCCGGACGGCAATGGTTTACTATCTGCACGGTAATGATTTACCAAGCGGCACGACCATAGTCTACTACCCGCACGGCTTCCGGACGGCAAATGGTTTACTATCCGCACGGCAATAGTCTACTATCCGCACGGCAATGGTTTTCTATCCGGTGCCCTGGTTGTCGGTGAACCTCTGTGCAAGGAGGGAGAATGAAGGGGGACTTTCGACTATCGTACCATTAACAATTTAATAAAGATTAGTTAAGGTAATTGAATAGGTAGATAGGATTATTTTTATTATGCAATTTGAGATGCAGGCACCGCTAAGCTTTCTGATGAGAATCTACTCTTTTTCTATCTTTCTTCATCAACACGGGCTGTGTTTCAACAATAATCTCGAGGAGGACTGGCACCAGTTTTCGAGGACAACGTAGGAACCGGACCGCATTCAACATTCTGCCTTTGTCGAATGGACGACGGTAAGTTTTTTTTACATTTCACTCACTTTGTTGTTTTAAAATTTTATTTATTTGACATTATTTTTATTTTATAATTCAATTTTTTTGCTTCTAAGATTCTAACATTCATTTACTACTATGCAAATAAAAAAAAATTTGTTTACAGAAGGATGAGAGGTGGGCAGTGGTGGGCGTCAGCACGTTTCAGATGATGGTCTCATGATGATGGTGGTGTAGGAAGAATCAGCTCGTTGGCTGTCGACTGACACTCTGAAGTTCGGATGACATCTTGTGTGCCGACCAGATGATGGTGGTCGGTGCAATGGAGTACAGTGACGACGATTTGTGAAGTAAGGTTTAGTTTCGTTTTTTATTTTTCTCATTCGTTCATTTTATCTCTCAATCTTTTAAAGTATTCATCTATTAATTGATTCGATAATTCATTCTATTTATTAATTGAATCATTGATTGATTAATTCATTCATTCATTCACTCATTCATTCACCAATTATTCAATCATTCAGTTAATCATTTATTCGTTCGTTCCTTTGTTCCTTGATTTACGACTACGCTAATAAAAAATGTCTACAGTGTAATGAGAGGTGGGCTGTGGTGGGTGTCAGCACGTTTCAGATGGTAGTCTTATGATGATCGTTCCGATGACAATTCGAAGAAAACAACAACGACGGTTTTTGAAGTATGGCTTAGTTTCTTTTTTTTTATTTTTCTCATTCGTTCATTCATTTTATCACTATCTTTTAAATTATTCCTCAATTAATTTATTCATTGATTCGTTCTATTCATTCATTAAATCATTGGTTGATTAATTAATTAGTTAATTTATTCATTCAACCAATCGTTCAATTATTCAGTTAATCATTTATTCGTTCGTTCCTTTGTTTCTTGATTTACTACTTCGCTAATTAAAAAAAAACTTGTCTACAGAATGATGAGAGGTGGGCTGTGGTGGGCGTCGGCGCGTTTCTGATAGTGGTCTCATGATGATCGTCCCGATGACAATTCGAAGATAATGTTACAGGGAAATTTGTTTTTGTCCCATCGTACCTTTGAAAGTACTCGAATTTGAACAATACAACTCAATACAACACATACACACACAACTGTTTCTCTTCAACTTTTCTATTTTCTTTATCGGACTTAATTTATTTCATAGGTAAGTTAGGGATTGAGATGAGTTGAACAACTGTAAGTAGGCTAGGGCTTAATTTTAGTTAAAAAGCTTCAAGTAAAATAAAAACGCTAAAATATGTTAAATAAAATACCTGAAACATTTAAAATTTCTGAAACGTAGAAATACAAATTTGTAGGTAAGTGAGTTGAGTTAATGATTATAAGTAAGCTAGGGCCCTGAGAGTAATTTAATTGTAGGTAGGTGACTGACTACTATTCTTGCGACTTCTTACTAGTTTTGTGTGATGTGTTTGTTTTCGCTTCACAGCACCACACCAACAAAACAAACTACACTTTATTCTCCTCGCCGCCTTAAATTTTACCTTTTTGAACAATCTTTTTAATGTCTATTTATTTATTTATTAAATGTTGACTGGTTTCTAGTTTTTTTTTTAAATTGGTTATATAATTTTTGGATATTTCTTGATTTATTTTGTATATATGCATGTATAAATAATTTCTGTTTGGTATGTTGATTTAGTCATTATGATATGCTGTGAACTGTTCTTACTAAATGTTATTGTTACGTGAATCATTCTCCGAGAACTACTGAGGAGTGTATATAATAATAATAATAATGGATAATAATTATTTTTTATCGGTCGATATTTTGTTATATTTGTTTGTTTAAAATACTAATTTTCTGAAAAATTGACGTTTTTAAAATTTTAATTATCCGTCACTTTTCATTTTTGAATGAATTTAAATAAAAGCAACTATTGTGTTTTTCGTTCTTTACTAAAATCTCGAAATTGTTTGTAGATCTGTACTGAAGAGGCCTTGCCAACCTACGGCTTCAGTAAGCCACTGTTTTTTTACCAGACAAAAGCAATTTCTATATTTATATTGACAAAAATAATTGTGATATGAATATATTGATTTATTTAAAGCTTTATATGTACAAAAAACCGCTATCCTAAGGGTTCTATGAAACCCTGTAAGCCACTGCATTAAGCCAACGTATCATTTTAGCAACCAGTTTTTATGAGCACCAGCAGAATGTAAAATGTCATTAAAGTTACTGGGAAACAGCACCAGGCGACCTTAATCACCGGGCCATCACGCTGCCCTGACCTGGGGTGGGACCTTTCGAACTTTTTGATCGATCGATATTTTTTGGTGGATAAATTTATTTTACGTCTGAACTTTTACAAATTTTTTAAACGCGGCCAAATAATTTTTATAATCTGTATTATTTTATTGTTAAATAGTAATATTAAAGCGCCATTGATTCATTTTTCTCTCTCGTTAAAATCACAAAATTATAGGTACATGATTAAACGTTATCGTTTGAAGCTCTCTAGACACTGCAATTTTCGACTGATAATTAAAATTTTTTATTTTAAAACTATTTTAAATTCAGAAGCAGCCCTGCCTGGCTTGCAGAGAGACGCACCCGCGAATAATAATTAAAATGACGTCGCTGATATGTCACTGGAATTTTGTTGTTGGTAATGAAAATAAATCACGTAAAAATATTCGCTCTAATTAACATTAATATTCAAAGAGTGTTGGCCGCTGTTTTAATATCCGAAAATATCCGTTGATACCGCCGTCAATACCCGACCGTACGTACTCGCCCGAGTTGTCGCAAGGTATGCTTTCTGTTTAAACACGTTTGTTTGTATTATAAACATTGGCGACTGCAGTTGTGGCTGTTGTATTGGTTGAAACAGCTTAAAACTTCAGCTCTTATTATATCAGTTTAAAACTGCAGCTGTAATTATATCAGCAATGGACAAAGGAAGCCTACGACTTGCTAGTCGAGTCTTTCTTTACATACTTGCATTCAATGAATACAGTGACATTTATTTGAATTCAGTGACATCATATTTTATTTTATTTAACAATTACTCACGGTACATCGCATTGTTCGCGTACACTTGCTTGCTTGCTTGTTTGCTTTGTTTAATGAGCACAGGCAGTAATTATTACTTCCATTCCGTCCAACATGCCCCAATTTATTTTATACACTCGTTTTTGTGGGCTCGTGAAAATTATCGCGGGTATGTGGCAGATGACCTGCGATGTTTTTAATATGATCCTCTACGGGCATTAGCCGTTGTGGTAAAGTATCTCTAGTCAAAACTCACTAAGTTGTTCGCTGGCAGGTGTTTTGACGGGGACTGACCAACGCGCCACGCACCAGCATGTCATGATTGACGCAAAAATGTTTGTGATGGTTCAATCAATCATTCAATTAATCAATCAATTATTCAATCAATCATTCATTCAATCAATCATTCAATTAGTTTATAAAACGCTATTTCCGCAATGTTCAACAGCGCTCCTCAATGAGTTTTGCAATGAATTTTGCAGGTGGGTCTTGAGATCCGCTCTGAACTTCGTAAGTGATGGAGAAGTCGTCAGACTTGAGTTAGTTGAGTTAGACACGCTACGTAGGATGAGCAGCCGAAATAAGTGAAACTTAATAACATTTTGCCATGCAATCGTCAGCGCAATTGTTGGGAAACTATTGATACCACACGTAACGTGCAAGTGCCTGATTAAATGGGCTCTTGCCATTTTTTTCTCAACGAGAAACACGCATTTCGTCCCACGTAGGCACATGACTGGCTTATATCTGACTGCATTCATGTGTAAGATAACACGTTGAAATTTCAAATTTTTTAAAGTAATTTGTAGATAAATTGCCGCTAGGTGTTCCTTCCGCATCAAGTTGTAACGCACAAACATTTCATGGTCAAACGCTGTCTTGTTTTAGAGTTCTACAAAGAGTTGTAGAAGTGTTACTCTTAAATTTACTTTGAAGTTGTAGAAATAATATTTATTGAAATTAATGCCCATCCAATTTTGTTGACGTCATAACATTATTATTTATTGGACCGACCGTTGATGAAGAACAACAAATTTTATCAATTCAAAATGAACTTTTTTACACTGCTTTAATTGAGTTTAATTTGCGAATTTTTAACAACAAAATGTCCGAAATATGGAAAATGAATTTTATTCTACCGGTCTGAAACTCGCGAAGTTAAAAATTTGCTGCTAATTAAACAAGCCGTGGTAGATTTTAAAAACAACTTTTTCGTTCACCCTGGTTTGTTCTTTCTAATATTATTATTGAAGCGTCATTTTTTAAATGATTCAATCTCGCATGCAATTAATTCACGTACAAGATATGAAATGAAGTGAATGGAACTTGTACTGATAAAAAAGAATGCTTCCAAATAATGAACGAACAACAGATAAGAAGCAGCAGTAGAGCGGATCAGATATGAGCAGGAGACTTCCAGGCACGACTGCCAGTGAAGAACTGATAGGAGCTGAGCCGGGAAGTTTGTGTGCCTCAACACGCTGCATCAACAAAGAATGCTACAAAGAGAACAAAGCTCCAAACCTCAGATCATGCACTTGCTAGTCAGTTCAATTCTATTCCTTTGTTTTATTTCAATCTAGATTTTGTCAATATTTAAATTTGGTGATGAATGATTTATAACAAATTAAAACTTACTGAAAATTAACTGTGTGAAACATTTGAATTTGGCTCAATTAGTGATAGCAACTTGGACACTACTCCTGGCGGTGGAGGTCCAGTGGCGACGGGGCCAGATGGAAGGTCGTTCGGAGTCCAACAGTCAGTGATGACCACCCCTCCCGTCCCTGTCAACAACAGTCAGATGAAAACATTCGGAACTCCGAAGAACATGTCCTACGTCATGAGCGGTGGACCCCTCTGTGCACACGGAAGTAACTGCCAGGAAACGAATGCCAGATATCAGGTCTCGGCATCCTTTTTTTGTCATATTGTCGTGAATGTATTGAGAAAAAAAACATGATCATGTTGTAATGCCTGGAGATGACTATGACGAAATATTTGATTGGAATTTACAACAGGAAGGCTGTTTCAGAGTGGGAGACCATCTGCACCGTCTCTGGATGGATCAGAAGATGTGCGACCTGGTTCTCAGGTGCTCCGATGGCGAGATCAAGGCCCACAAGGTCGTCCTGTCAGCCTACAGTAGCTACGTACTCGAGAATTTCAGTAAAGTACGAAATTATCAGCACGACTTCAATTATCAAATCCTAGTTTGATGCAATGAAATGGACAAATTCATGAATGATTATCGCTTGACTTCGTGTTCTAATATAATGAGTAATTTGATGATTTAATAAATAGTAATAGTATTTGTACAAATTTGCGATGTGTGCTAATTATTTTGTAAAGTAATGTAATATTTGTTTAATAAAGTAATGTAATATTTGTTTAATAAAGTAATGTAATATTTGTAAGTTGTTTAAAATAATAAAATGACGGCTACAAGTTTTATTTCAATTTCTAAAGTTCCCAGACAGCGCAGGCATTGCCATCGACCTTCCGGATTTCAGTCAGGATGTAGTGATGATCGTCCTGTGCTACGTCTATTGCGGGGGTGGTGGAGAGGATCAGTTCGAACTGGAACTCAACTCTCAACTAGTTGGACCCCTCATGTTAGTGGCGGATGAGCTGGGAGTCTGTGACCTGGTCAAGTGCTGCGTCAGGTACCTCTGTAACGTCGATCCGGAAAATGCCATCTTTCATTACGCCATTGCCGACAACTTTGGACTCACCGAAATTAGGGTGATCACTGCTATAACTGATTAATGCTTGATGATAGTCAATGTTACAAATATTAAATTTTCAATTTCAAATAACTTATTGCTAATATGAGATGCATCGCATTATCTACGTTGTATAAATTTTCAAATGACATCGATAATGATGAGGATAACCGCCAAACAGGAAAAGATCTACCACTACTTGTTACAGAATTTTGAGAACGTTTGGGAAACGAGACACTTCAGAATGTTGCACCCCGACCGTCTCATGTCCCTTCTGTCTGACGATCGACTGGTTGTCTGCGATGAGATCACTGTGAGTCCTCTTGTGTTTTTGTTATGTTAGTCTTGTTGCCGTCGGATCGGTTCAGACGTTTGTCTCGCGCCGAAACGTTCAAAATGTTTCCAGTGCAAGTTACAAAATTACAGACGCGTCCTACATAAGGCTTCTTGTGACATAAATGTTTTATTTCAACTATATACGGATGGATTTGTAATCGGTTCTGAGTTTTTGCAAAGCTGAACGGCAAAAACAAAACACGTTAACACACACACACACACGTAGTTACTGGCGCGCACACACACACACACATGCGAATTCACCTCAGGTCTTCTATGCAGCTTTATATTGGATGGAGGCGGACCGAGAAAGACGCAAGAGTTTAGCCCCGACATTACTGAGGTATGGTGTGCGTCTCATGTGCATATCTCCAGAATATCTCGTCGATAAAGTTGAAAAGGTGACATGGTTATTTGATAATCCCGAATGCTACGCACTACTCAATGAAGCACTTAGGTCAGTTCCTTACTCTCCGTGTATGGTGTCGTCTGCTTTTTTTTCATTTTTTGCTGTTCTCCAGTGTCAGTTGATAATTTAAAAAGTTAATTGATCGGTTACACATTAACATCAAATGATATTTAGCTGCTTCTTAACACAATAATGATCGTTGAATATTTAGTATCGGTTAGTATCTGATATTATTAACGAAGGAATAACTTCACACACACACACATTCGTCAACCAATCAGATGTCACGCTTTGTTGTTGAGTGGGGGTAGGATGCCGATATCCAGTGCCTTCCAGGAACAATGCCAGAGAACATGTCTCAGAATGGACGTCTGCTAACTTTTACAATATTGTTATTAATTATAAAAAATTAATAATTACGATTATTGCTGCGATAATAATTTTAATAAAATTATAGAAGGAATAATTTTATGTGTATAAACAACCTATGCCAGTAACATCCTATTGTTATTCACTAAACACCCATTGTCCTTTGTTATATTTCTTATTTATTTTTTTAAAAATTTAACCTAGTATCAATATTTAAAAGATATTTATACTCTCAGTAACTTAGTAGTTCTTGCAAATTCGTTCCTCGTTTTTAACGCATGTACATGTGCAAGCATACATTACATTCGTAAAGTTAAAAATTGTTGTGTCTAGTTGAGTGACAACACCATCATCTTCACACTTTCGCCTTTGGTTGTGTGTTTCTATCAAACATAAATGTTTGGTTATTTAAATTGCATCTTTCAATTTCATACATTCGTTTTCGTTCAATATATTTCAATTTCTATAACATTATTTAGATAAATAAAATTTATTCTATAAAAAACTACAAAACATCTAAAATAAAATATTAAAAAAAATGAATACATCTCTCAATTTGATGCACCAGCTAACTCTACTCATGTGAAATCTTTCAAAATGCAATAAAAAAAGCAAGCAATAACTCTGGAATGAGCTATACGTAAACACACATACACACACATATACAAACACACACATATACAAACACACATACAAACACAAATAGGTAAGCGTGCGATAGATATAACATCTGGTTTGAATGATAAAAATGAAAATATTGATCGCCACGTTGTTCATCTGACGATGATTATTGCCTTGTTATTTCCTTTGCACAATAGTTATAAAGCGAAACGTGTACAACTTGAAAACTGGACTAATTCAGATTTCTCTATACTCCAAGTGCATTACATTGTTTAACATTTATTTATCAATCAAATGATTAGACATCTACTGAATGGCTGGCGACTGACTGAATAAAGGAAGAAAAAACAGTGAATGAATGAATGGAGAAATGATGAAATCTTTCAATCCATCATCTCCATCAACAGGTTGGTCAGTTAACAGTATTACGACAGCCGTTATCTTCATCATCATAATCATTTTCTTCATTGTCAGGCTATCCGCTGGACTCTTCGAGAATGGCCACCAACCTACCTCAAACAGTTTCCAACTTGCACGGTCAGTCACACGCAAGTACATCTTCCTGCAAACAACCAACCATTACAGTTTTTCACAAACAGCCAGCCAACTACAATCACATCCAATCACAACCAGCCAGATATTCAAACGACCAATCACAATCATGGTAACAATTAGGAGCAGTTCCGTCAGCCAATCAGGTGTTCATCGTTCAGGCCCCTCGTTTGAAGAGGACGTACGATTCGTACGAGCTTTCTTTTGCAAACATATGCGGCATGGTCCAATGCTTTTGTGGAATTTTTTCATTGGCTCTTGGAATCGCCAGCCCACTTGAATGTGGGGAACTCGGTTTCATCGGCTACGGAGTTTGGGGCGGAGTCATGGTGAGTTTGTTGTTAGTCAAGAATTGTAGTGATGGTAAAATGTTTATTGTTTATGACACAGCAGTTTTAATACCTAATCGAGCATTTCATCATCTAATAATAATCCACCCACTCATTTCACTGACAATTGAAGTGATTGATTTAAATGAATAAATGAAGTACTTTGTAGCTGGTTACATCGGCATGTGGTCAACCAGCAGAAGAACAACGTTACTCGTTAGTCTCCAAAACTAAATTTCGTTCGATTTGATCATTTTATCGCCGCTGAAATGATTATTTACAGCATTTGAGAAATATCAAATTTAAAACTTACCAACTAGCCAACCAATCAACCAACCAGATAATGACGACAATGGTACTTTCCATAATAAATTCATGTCTGGGCGCCATTCAGTTCTCACTGGGAACATACTCTGCCCACATGAACAACCTCAGATTAAGCTGTAAGATCATTGTTTTGTAATGGCTCTTATACGTTGAATTCATTCATTTCTACTTGTCAAAAATGCCAAAATGTACAAAATGCCAAAAAGAAATAATGATTTAATAATATTTGTATTGATAAAAAAAACTAATTTTTACAAGTAACACTCCAACAATGAATAACTATTGAAAACAGTAGCGGCCAGTTTGAGAAGATGTCCATATGCCGTGGCTACATACCCAAACAGCATAGATGTCAGTTACTTATCATTATCACATATATAAACACATAATTAATATTATATAAATATAATTATTGGCGGTGAGATGATTTTGAATGCAATGTGTGTGATGGTTTGATTTACAAATGTTGTGTGCTTGTGTTGCTGATACTTCTAGGGGCTAATCACGAGAGAATTATTCTATAATTGCATTAAAATGCAAAATGCTACTAAAAATTATTCAGTCAGTTAATTATTTACACTAAACAAACACAGTGGATAGGCGCTGTTGTGATAGATTCCCTGCTTGCCTGTACAGGTCTCATTGAAATGCTGGCTGCCATCTTTGCCTCCATAATATGCTGTGCAGTTGTCTGTGGACCCCAGGACTACACTACTGCATCAGTGAATTAATATAATTAATATTGTTTCATGTCCATTTTCAAATGAAAATGATCTAGCTAGCTAATATAACTTGTTTAACTGAGTGATTTGAAATTTTTTTCAATGGTTCTGAAACATTTAAAATCTAGTTACATTGCTAGCTAGTTAAAATTTTGTCTTGCATTTATATTATAAGTTGATAAATAAAATCCCACCCACCAAGGACGTGCCCGTGAGAAGGAACAGGGTTCTGCCAGCACAATTTGTCTTCACATCCAACCAGCCACCACAATCGCTAGGAAACCAAACATACATTACAGGTCTGTTTTGAAATCTAATTAATTATTTTAATAATCATTTTTTATCAGTCTAATCATATTTTATAATAAATATTTTGTTGTTTTTGAAAAATTAATAAAAATGCTCCTTAACTTAACTTTAATTAAACTTTCTTTTTTAAAGGCACCAGTAGAGGATGAAAATTTCTAACTGCAGAACATGATTTCGGATCATTATTCATTGCCATTGCATTGTTCTAAGTGATTTAACTGCAAATAATATTTTTGTATATTAAAAAATGTAAATATCTTTTATATTTTACTATTTCAAATAAAAGTTATTTAACCTTCCACTTCCTTTTAATTATTTTAATTTAATTTGATAATTTAATTAATTAAAGTTTTAATAACCAATGTTTCTGTGTTTTTGTCCTGTCGCAATTTCCTTCATTATTTTACTTTAAAAAAAGAATTGAATTAGACTTTTATTAATTTTATTCTGAAAAAGTTGAACTGAAAAATTAATTACAAGTAAAATTATGACATTTTAAATTTAAAAGCTTTTGTCCATCGAACAAAACCTCAATTAATTTCGTAAGACAAAGAATTTTAAAAAACCGGTTTCCATGGCGGACATTTCCTCAGACGCGCAGAAAATATTTTTCTTAATCGAATTCGTTTAAAAAATGAGTTGTTAACGCTGGTTTATCCGGGTTTTTAATGTCTAGATTTGATATTTGTTATATTATTAACTGATTCAGTTGTAGAAGTTTTTTAAAATGCTCAAATTCAGTGAACGCCACCAGCAGAGACTTGTTCAAGTTACGGAATCAAACATAACTGAATTGATGGCCTCAGTCGACTTCATCCTGATGGGCTTGGGAGGTTAGTTAGTGACTGGAAGTTGAAACTAAATTAGTACTTTTTATCCTTTTTAATATATTCATTTGTATTCTTGCATGACGTGACTTGCAGGAGTGTATTGGCTTGGTAAGGATGTCTTTCCTGGGAGTGGTAATGTAGCGGAGGGCTTGAAGAAAATTGTTAGTTACTTTAAAAATTTAAGTTGAGCTGGTTGAAAATTTTTTAGTACTATTGTTTATTCATTGACTCATTAGATTAGATAAAATAAACCAAATTTACATTATAAAATTAAATAGGGATGATGTTTTTTTTAAATTTTAAATATTAATAAAATAGTTTGTGGCTATCAATCTGAATTATATAATAATAATTTAAATTGAATATATAATAATTTAAATAATATACAAAGGGACAGCACATTGTATATTTCACAAACAATGACATGCACACAAGAGAATTTATCCAAAATCAGTTGACCAATCTTGGAATCAAAGATGTTAAACCAGTTAGTCAGTTACATTTGTTCTCTATTTTATATCATTCCTTCTTCTCCTTTTGGTTATTTTTTGTGCTTGTTATTGATTGCTGTGAGGCACCTCTCAACTAATTGTTACTATACACACATTCTATAAATAAGTAATATTTTCTTTATTTTTTATAACCTGCTGTTTCATTCAATTGTTATATATATATATATATATATATATATATTATGTAGACGAATTTCATATATTGTTCTTCAAACAGAACGAGATATGTTCGTTGAGTCATGCTACAGCAGTCTACTTGAGAGACCACTTGAAGATTTCGGATGGAGTTTTTTGCCTTGGACCGTCAGCTCTTCTCTCTGAACTCAAGAACAATAACGTGAAAGTTCTCACCGCAAAATGTGTTGGTCTTTTTTTCATTTTATTCATTTGATATTTTTATTTATGCCTGTATAATGTTGTGGTACAGCTAATCCTAACCAACTTTTATTTGGTTGTGTTCATTATGCTCATTCATTCATTTACTATTTAGATAAAATACGTTCTTTTCTTGAACATAATTATTATTTTAAATCTGAATTTTTCTCAATTTATTTTCATTTGCAAACATAGGACTGCAGAGATGGGAAGCCATTTGAAGATTTCCTATTTGGAAATGAAGTTCAGTATCTTATATTTTGCTCTGCTTTTTCCTTTCCCCATTTCATTTGAGCAATGTTTCAGCTCAAGTTATTGAAAAATGCGGTTTCTAACAGTTTGCAATTGTTCTGATAGAGCAATTTATTTAAACATTCTGTAAGATGGAACTAACGTATTTCCACTATGTAACGTATTTTTGTTTGTATTGCACTATAGAAATAAATAATCATTTTACGTGTTTAATAAAAACTGCTATATAAAGTGTCCAGCAATTAGTTGCTATATAATAATTTCCGTTGTAACTTTAAAAAAAAATATAGACCCTAAACTCTCACATTCAATCAGATTAAGGCGATAGTGATGGGTATTGATGTAAATTTCAGCTACCGCAAGGCACGAGCTCTCTCAAACTACATGCTTCACCACCCTGATGTTCTCTACCTGGCCACAAATATGCAGCCCAACTACGTTCGAAGGAACAGCAGATTTATGCCTGGCTGGTTTAATATTTCATTGCATCGTGACTCAATATTGTATATCTTATTCCGTTGGTTTATTTGATTATATTTTATATTGCCTTATATTCCGTTGGTAAAGTTCAGTTTTTGACATACTTCTAGTACTGTTTTTCCTCCACATTTTCATCATATTAACAAGTATTATTGGATTATATTTTTTGTTAAGGAATCAAAGCCCAGTCAAAAATGATAAAAGAATTGAGTGGTAGGAAACCCGATTACGTCATTGGGAAGCCTGAAGAGCCTATTTTCAGAGTCCTCTTGTCACAGATTGTTATTGATCTGTCGAGAACTCTTCTGATTGGTCACAGGTTCATTTTAATTTTCATTTAGGAAACGCTGGTTGCAGTTTGTGATACTGTGGTGACATTTGGTTGCCGTTTTGTTCGCTTCTATTAATCAGTTTTTAAAACGTTTAAAACGATTGGTTGCTTCTATTAATCAGTTTTTAAAACGTTTAAAACGATTGGTTGCTTCTATTAATCAGTTTTTAAAACGTTTAAAACGATTGGTTGCAGACTGGAGACGGACATTCTGTTTGCATACAGAGCAAAGATCTCCTCCATGTTGGTTCTATCAGGGATGGCTTCACTGGTGGATGCGCGTAAGGCCGAGTTCAGTGATAGACTGATTGAGAGGGCCTCGTGTCCTGATTTCTTTGTTGAAAACATTCATGTAACTAACTTATTTCACAGTACATTTTCTATTAAATGTTTCTTCATTTAATGATTTTTCTAATTATTAATATAATGATTGTTAATAATTTGTAGCAGAAAAAACTTTAAAGATCGTTTATGATGCTGATGGTAAGTATTAATTACTTCAAACGTTAACATTTATTGAATAAATTCCTGCAGAAGTTGCACGAACTGCTTCACAAGCAAAATGTGCATCAGCTGCAAGAGAGGAAGATGACAATCAAGAACTTGCATTTGTATCTCCCACGAGTTATGGATGAGAAAGACGAGGAGGAGGATTTCGATTATTTTGTTGATAATGTAGCTTCAAAGGTTTCTATCCCAATAGCCTCGTCCAGATCGAAGCCTGTCTCGTTGGTCTCCAAAGTCACAGGCAGCCAGACGACTAATGTGAAGACTGGTAACGTTAGTTACGTCACCAATACGAGCACCACCGATGATGCTCAACTTAATATTGGCTACTACATGAAGAATGTCAAATATACTAACTACAAGGCACTTGTCGCTGCTGCTAATGAAGCTGCCACTGAGCTCTTATCGGACAACAACTGACGGCATGCATCTAATTTGTATTGTATCTTTAAAATAGTTTTTCTGTATTTAATTTTATATAATTTTTAGTCGGTTTGTGTCGATGCGTTGCGTGTGTATTTATGCTATTCTTTTTAAATGCCAGACGCGCTTTTCTGTTCAGAGTTTCAATTTTACACAGCCGTGTTTGTGGTTTGCACGCTTGGAAATATATCCGTGCGTTGTATTTTTTGCCAAGCCTGCACTATACTAAACTTATGTTTAAATTCACTTTTGCTTTTGTTATTTATTAAAATCCGACAAAAATTATTTGTATTATATGTATATATATATTGTTCAAAAATCGTATTTTTATTTTGGATTTGTAGTTTAGACTTAATATTTTATAAAATTGTTATTGTAGTTTGAGAAGAGCGTCATTGATGAAATATTGGCCGCCGATCAGTAGGAAATGTCTTAGGACGTATAGAGCGAAAATGTTAAATTGTAGTAAACGCTTCACAAGGTCCTCTTCCTCGTCCAATCCCAACGAACACCACTCTAGCTCCAGTGCACTAAATGATCGCGTTGGTTTTTTATACTTATTTTATTTTTTACTCTACTGAGTGGCAGAGCGGAATAAGTAAAGTTCTAACTAAAAAGATCATAAATTTTTTTGACCAACAAATCTCTATTTGACAACGCCCAGAAATCTTCTAAAACCTCCCATCACATAAATATTAAATAATATAGTTATAATATGTAATAATTAAATTAAAGAGGTAGAGTGGTATTACAGTAGAAGCTTACTTATCTAATGTTAAATCTAATGCTAATCTAAATTATAAATTTTTAAAATTTTAATGCCACTCAACTACTATATTCTATACAACTCAAGTACTATTTAGTAGATAATAATAGTTAATCACAATTTTTTGATTGAAGTGTGAAAAATATTAGAAAAATGTATTTCTCCAACTACCATACAATATTATACATAGTATGCTGTATATAGTATAATACTATAATAATATCAACCACGGTGTAGTAGTCGTAGTAGTACTTATTGAATTGATGCTAATTAATGATGCTAATCTAGTAAGTAGTGTCATACTTTAGACACAATTAGAAGATTAGTATTAAAATTAAGATTAGTATTAATGATTAGTATTAAAAAGATTAGCATTAGTTATAATCAGAGTACTAATACTCTGATTAGTATTAGTAGTATTAGATTAGTATTAGTATTAAAAAGTATTAATGTAGATTAGTATTATTAGTATTAAAAATTAATTTTCATCAAACAGTTTGAAAGATTATATAATTTTTATGTTCTTAATCAGTTGGTATAGATGGCATATATGATGATTAAATAGAGAGCATTTTTTTGTTTTTAAAGCGAAAAGGATTTCACAAGCCGACAGTTTACCATGTATTAATTGTGATCTTCCTTGAGTTCTTCAGCTGGGGCTTACTGATTTCAGTCGGAGTTAGGGTTAGATTGTGTTGAATTTGTTTAATTTCAATGCTTTGTTAACATTCTACTAAAAGTTTTTACTCAAAATTTCAATCTACTGCAATAATGAAAGTTGAGTAAATTTAATTTGAAAGGTGCTAGAAATGACTTTTATGAACAATGCCTTCCTTATGAATGGGCTTATCCAAGGTGTCAAGGTTTGTTGGTGAAATAAATTTAGAGAATGAATTAATCTTTTGACCTATTTACTCATCTAACATGGCCTATTTATATTAATTTAATTTAATTATTCCAGGGAATACTATCGTTCCTGAGTGCGCCATTGGTTGGTGCCCTGTCTGATATCTGGGGTCGCAAGCCTTTCATGCTGTTGACTGTCTCATTCACATGCTGTCCCATACCGTTCATGAAGTCGAGTCCCATGTTAGTCGAACATGATGTTGTCGCTGGTTTTGTTGTTGTGGATTGTAGTTGATGTTGTTTCTGTATAATTAAAATTAATGAATGATTGTACTGCTACCAGCTGGTACTTCACTCTGACGTCTCTCTCCGGCGTAATGGCTGTCACATTCAGTATTGTCTTCGCTTACGTAGCCGATATCACAACCAAGGAGAACAGGAGTTCTGCTTATGGTCTGGTTGGTACCATCTCTCACTCTTATTCTCTCTCTCTCTCTTCTTTCTCATCGTCTCATCTGTTATCATTATATCATTATTTTCCTAATTTCAATATTCTACTCTGTTTAAACTCCCTGCCTCTGCCCGCCACTCTTCACACGTCCAGGTCTCTGCGACGTTCGCAGCCAGCCTCGTAGTCAGTCCCTACATCGGGACGGTTCTCGAACGTTACTACGGCGACGACTTTGTGGTCTTTGTAGCGTCCGTCGTGGCCACCATCGACATCATCTTCATCCTTATCTTCGTCCCCGAAACATTGCCATGGAGACCGGGTCTGTGTAAGGACCACGAAGAAGATGACGACACCGTCACCATGACAACGACGATGGTAATGAGTGACGTCATCATAGCAGCTCCCAGCAGCGGTGGTGGAGCCGTTGCTGGTGGAGGTGGAGGTGGCGGGGGAGGGAGTGGAAGCATTAGCAGGCTCAGCTGGGAGAAAGCTGATCCGTTCGCGGTGAGGATGATGAGGAGTTGATGATGATGATGATGATGGTGGTGGTGGTGATGATCACTTTGCCGATATGATGATGACGACGACGAAGCTGAGGTAGTTGCTGTTGATGACGGGGGTAATGCTAATGATGATGGAGATGATGATGATGGAGATTTTTTTCGACTTGTTAATTTGAATTTTAACTGAATTGTTGGTGTTGTATAATTTCATACCGCTCTAAAACGATTCAACCAAACGAACGTAAATTATTTGATTAATAATCTTAAAAATGAATGGAAATGTTAAATCGCTTGCGAACGGAAGTCCTTGAGAAAGATAGGGCACGACAAGTTAATCGTCATGTTGGCCCTGACAGTCTTCCTCTCCTACCTGCCAGAGGCTGGGGAGTACTCCAGCATATTCGTCTACCTGCAAATTGTTAGTGCTCCAGCAGCTGACTTCAATCCCATCACTCACTCATTCAGTCCGTCGTTTATTTGTTTTTCACTCATTCGTTCGTACGTTCGTTCATTCGTTCGTTCGTTCTTTCATGCTATCAGTGTCAATCAATCAATCAGACAGTTGTTAAGTATGTGATTGAAACGTAATAACGCAGATAATGGACTTCTCACCGGACAAAGTTGCTGGCTACGTGGCTATGGTGGGGGTGCTGTCCTGTCTTGCTCAAGTTGCTCTCTTTCTCTCATTCATTCATTCATCTTTTTGTTACTACATTGGTTTATTCATTCATCCAATTAAATGAATGAATAAATAAAGGAATGAATGAATGAATAACTGACTGAATTACTGAACAAAGGAACGAATGAATGAAGCACAAAGGTTGTTGTCGTGCACAAGTAGTTGACGAAACATTGATTTATTGATTGAGTGAATGATTGATGGATAGATAGATTAAAAGAATGAATGAATCAGTTAATGAATGTATGATTTAATGAACTGGTTTACTAATTAGTTAATTATTAATTAATCAATTAACTGTAAATGAATGAATGAACGACTGACTGAATGAATGAATGCAGACCTTGTTGCTATCGGGCTGATGCGCCACTACGACAACAAGACCACGGTCATCGTCGGATTGGTCTTCGAAACTGTTCAACATTTCCTCTTCGGTCTCTTCTCTCAACATTGGTTTGCTCGTTCACTCCTTCCTTTCGTCGTTCATTCACTCGTTCATTTGTTTGATACCATGAATTAAAACTTTTAAAAACACTGCTTCGTGTATGCCTCACCACCACCGTTGTCACCACCACCACCATCGACACCGCCACCAACATCGTCTCTAGGGTGTTGTTCGTGGCCGGGGGTGTGGCAGCTCTAGGGAGCATAACATACCCCGCCATCTCTGTCTACGTGTCTGCCAGGGCCAAGCCAGAACAACAGGGTTCATTATCTTCTTTTGTTTTATTTAATGCACTCTCGTCTGTTTGTGTGTGGCGGTTGTTTGTGTTGGGTGGTTGTTTCAAAAATGAAAGATGGAGTGATTGATTGATTGATTGATTGATTGATTGATTGATTGATTGATTGATTGATTGATTGATTGATTGATTGATTGATTGATTGATTGATTGAACGAACGACAGGAGCGAGTCAAGGAGTGATAACAGGTATAAGGGGGCTGTGCAATGGTTTAGGGCCTGCCATGTTCGGCTTCATCTTCTATCTCTTCAAAGTGGACATAACCAGCATCAACAAGCCGTCACTCAGCAACAACATCAACACCTTCAACAACAACAACAACATCACAACGACAGACCCAACACTGCACTCAAAGGTGTTGCATCATTAACATTTTCATTATTATTGTAATCGTTGTAATTGCTATCAATGCAAATGGAGATTCGTTAACAAAGATGTTTTATTTCTATTGCTCATGTTGTTGTTTATGTTTATATTGTTTACTGCTAACAGACTAATCACAATCAATTAACCAACCACAATCAATCAAACAACCAATCACAATCAACTAACCAACCAACCAACCAATCAGCTGATTATACCTGGACCCCCTTTTGTGTTTGGAGGGTTTCTCGTCATGGTGGCCATCATTGTGGCTTCTTACATGCCTGAACCTCTGGGCAGTTGCCATGGAAACAGAGATGCGCATGGAGTTGAGTCGTCGGTTACCAGGGGAGATATTCTTCTTGGTGAGTTGTTGCAGCACTTCAACTTTCTTTCTTGCTTATTATGAACTTAACGCCAACATCAATTTATCTTACTAATCATTTCGTAGTACAAGCCGTGATTCGTAATTATTCAATATTCGTATTATCTGCCGTGGCTTGCTTTCGTGTTCATTAATTGAAGTATAGAGATCATTTTAAAATTTCTTTCTAAATAATTTTTTAATTCTCTCCTACAAGAACCAATGGAAAGCAGTCAGGTGGACAAGACTCCACTATTGGATACAACTGACGATAGTGACAACAACACCAGCCAGTCAAGTCACGTCGTCTAACAATCTACCTACCTATCAGTCAATCAAACTTCATTTGACGTAGAACGGACCTCCTTCATACCGCCAATCACACAATGCCGTTTCGTAACTGCAATAACAATCCACTTCATCTCGCATTTTAATTTCACGGCATGGTCGTGCTTTTAATGTTTAACGAACTTTCTCTGTGTCATAATTAGAAATATGTTAATAAATTTGATAAATATTTTGTATTATTATGGTAAATGTTGATAATATTCGTTGATTCATTCATCTTATAGTTGTGTATATTTGTATACCTTATACTTATGATTATCTATATATGACATTTGCTTGTATATGTCAACGGGTGTATATGTACATCTAGCAATGAATGCATGCACTGTTTCATGGATTGGTAACTAGCTAACTAGCCGTCAGCCATGATGTATGTTGATGTTGCTTCTTTGGGGAACTCGTGTGCTAGATGATCATTTTCATCTATTTCAATTTTGATCCATCCAATTTAATATGTCTCAATGATGAAGTGGTCTCTCAGTCTTCAATTTTCATACATACATACGTACATACATACGTTCATGTATATATACATACATACGTACATACATACGTACATGTATATATACATACATACGTACATGTATATATACATACATACGTACATACATACGTACATGTATATATACATACGTACATGTATGTATGATATTATTATTAGTGTTGTTGTTATTATTATTAGTGTTGTTGTTGTTATTATTATTATTATTATTATTATTATTATTATTATTATTATTATTGGTATGTTTGTAAGCGCCCTTTAAAAAGATCTCAGAGGCGCCTACGATTATTATTGCAGTACATTGCGTAGCACGTCACTAAAGCAATGCAATGAATGGAGGGAGAAAGAGACATTAGCACGGGTAGGCTCGGACAAAAAGATGGGGTTTCAACTTTTTACGAAATTGAATAACAGACAACGCAGAATCACGAAGGTCCCTGGTTAGGCAAGACATTCCAGACAGCTGGAACCATTACGGAAAAATTCCTTCGACCAAAAGCCAAAAGAATTGGCTTAGCGTGATCGTATTTAATGCCACCTGAAACCAACCTTGCAACTCAATTTTGAAACGACTGCAGTCTAGACATTTTTACACCAGACAGGCCGTAATATAGACTATTGCAAAAGTCTATTTTTTAATGTCAGAATCACCAAGTCTGATAGACTCAATGTTCATTTTTTCCACTTGCTGCCTAGTGCCAACCGGTAAAAACTAAGTTTTCGATTGATTCAATTTAAGGCTATTAGTCGTCATCCAGTCAATAATTTCCGAAAGATATGATCTGAGTCTACAGACCAAATCATCAAAACGACAAAAGGGGGCACTAGCAATGATTTGAATATCATCAGCCAAATCTGAAATTATATCTGTCAATGGTTTTGAAAACATCCCCGGTAGTAAACGAAACACAGGGCTTGACACAGGCCGATAACTTGAGAGTGGAACGTCTGAATCTACTGTTATAAAAAAACAATTAGACCGCCATGACGAGGTTTTAACATACATACACACGCACATACATACATACATGCATACATGCACGCATACATACGCGCATACATACATGCATGCATGCATACATTTTGGTGATTGATGATGACGACGATGATGATGATCGAAATCTGAGCAAATCATTCAAAAAATCGAATCTGCCATTAATAAACGTCTATTCTTCCTGTCCTTGAAATTTATTCTTCAAAATCATCCTTCTCATGTTGGTAGAGATGTCTCACGTACATTTGATTGAGAATGGAGAAATAATTGCACTGACAAATTTGCATGTATGGATTCATTGATTGTATTTATTGAATGTTCCATAGACGCATTTGATATATTGCATTTGATTGTATTTATGGTTTTGTACATTTACAACACGGTCTGATCATTCTTGCTATTAATAATTATTTGGTTCACATTCATACGTTAACTTATTGATTGTATTTATATGTGTTTGTTTGTATGTATTAATATTGATGTATGTATGTATGTTATGATTGGTTGTTGTTTTTGTTGACATACATTTTTAACTATCGGTGATTGGTGATCATCTTGACCTGCTTGCATATTTTTCCATTTTGTTTTATGCAAATTTCAACATTAATTTTTTAACATTTACAGTGGAGCCTGTTCATATTTTTTGATGAAATATAATCATTTGTTAAGGTAAACTGAGTTCGTCAAACGACTTGTTAAACGAAAATAAAAAATTTTAACCACGTATAACAGAGGGAATAATGAAGCGTGAAAATAGTTTAAATGTTACCAAACTCGGAGAATACCGGTGGTAGAGAAGACGGATCGTCAGAGCAGGTTGGTGGGTATCTTGTTGTCATTCAGTCTCTTGATGACAATCCTTCCCAATGACTTCTGTCCAATGCTTGTGAGGATGTTTCCGAATGTGAACATCACCGAAGAGCCCATGTCCAGTAAGTAGTTCAGCAAGTACTTCACCTGGTTCGTTTGGTCATTTTTTCATTTGTTCGTTCGTTCATTCATTCTTTCGTTCATTGAATAGTTAGTTATTTAGTTTCTTAGTTGGTCTTTAATTCGATAAGTGTGCTATGGATGGTGGTGGTTCATTGATTTACTCATCGCCTGCCTGTCTGTATGTCTTTGACGTTACACTTTAGTTTTAACAATTTTTCTAACTATGTTTGAAAACCGAATTATTTTTAATTTTGCGCTCATAATTTTGAATTCACGAGTTATTAATATTAACAATAAGATAATTAAGAGAGAGAGAGAGATGGAGAGAGAGTGTGTCAGCGAACAACTACACAACGACGTCCGTTCATTCACTCAGCTCGTCAGGTCAGCGAACCTTGGCCTTCCTGTTGGGAAGTGTGCTCAGCCTTGATTTGATGTGCTCGTTGATGATGTGGTGCCTCACTAACTCATCCAACAATCCTTCATTCACCTGTCATTCATTCGTTCATTCATCAAAATCTTTTTCATTTTCTATCATACATCAAGCCAACAAATCTTCCATCACGTACTCGTTATTATATTATTAATATTATTGATGTTGAACTGAGCAAACTTGCAGATTGTCCGTAAGTGTGGCGTTGATTTCTGACCAGATTTCAAAGGTGGCCAGCCTCACCTGCCTCGCGTCGTTTAGGGTTGAGTCCACAAACCTGTTCCACTTCAACGTCTGTGGAGGCAGAGCTTAAGTTGTGAGGTACACAAATTTCAATTTGTTTATTTATTTAGTGCTAATCGAATAAGATGATATTTTTGTCTCACTCCGTCTGTGTACGCTAGCAAAGTTAACTTTTATAAAAGGTAATTAAACCCATGCCCAGGAGCGGATCTAGATAAGTTTGACGGGGAGGGGCCAAAATTTGAAAATGATTAAATTAACTGACTGACTGACGAGGGTTAGGGGCCAGTAAACTTATCAAATTTGTGGCAGTGTATATAAAATTAGGCTGGCGACTTTTTTGACTTATCACATCAATTTTTGGTCAATTTTCTTCTCTACATAAAATGATGATTTCTTGTGCAATGGTGCTTAAAATGTGTGTTTTACTGACTTTTAATAATGTTATTTTACTTGTCGAATTTGCAAAGTAAAAGTTTTAATGAGCTCTGATCATTTTCTTCAATGAACTTCTAATAATTGTGAATTCGTGTTTTATTGAACTTTGATGTTGCATTATTAAACATTACAAAAGAAAATTCAATATTAAAGTGTGACAAACGGTTTTCGAGATTTCGAACGCAGTCAGTAAGTTTTTCGAGCCATCCTTGCACATCAAGAACTGAATTCAAATCAAGTGTTGTTCTCACTTTATCGAGCCATGGCGACTTGCCTTCATGGAACATGAACGTTGGTGAATTTTAATTGTCATCAAGCCGTATTTGTGAGTTCATTTTTTATTTGTGACTAAAGATGTTTGTGATTTAATCAGTCATCTTATATTTAAATTTAATGACTTTCTAGCCGAATTCCTGATTCTACAACTATCATGAGTTGTGACATTATTTTATAATAAATTTCATAAGATAAAAATAGATTTCTTTTGATAATGGATGACGAATAAAAACAGATGAAATTGTCACAAATGAATTAGGGGATGATGAAAATGAAAAAGATGAGATAAAGGATGGCGGCGCTAATGAAGACAACATGGAAGACGAACGAACCTTTTGTTAGCGCAACTTGAACAGTCGTTGCCGCCTCTTTGTAAATTGCATCGACAATCATTCTTGCAGAGGCCAGTTTGATCTTGTCGCATATGAGGGCCATGTCTAGCTCCTTGTTAGACTCTGCCACACTTTCCTGCTCTATTTCTAGTAAGCAAGTTTAATTTTACTAACAATATAATTTAATTAATAAAAATCAACATTGTTAATTATGAACACTCTACGCATGAATTATTTATGTTTATAAAAGTGCGCCAGTGTTTACTGCAGGCATCTGTTTAATTGGAGAAACTGAATTGCAGAAAGTAACCCTCTACTCCTTCATCTTCAACTTCCTCACTGTTTTCATGTTCGCCAGTTTGCTCTATCAACTCAGAGATCAAATAGGTTCCTTCATCATCTTGCAGACCCATTATTGCTCTATGATCAATGAACAATTGTTTTTATATTTCAAAAACCTCATATACGTAGTTATGTAAATATAATATAAAAATTAATTAAAAGGTGAATCCATTTAGAGGCAGTAACTCTTCAGGTAACATTCCAGACTGAAGGAGATCGTAGACCACTGTGGTGGAATGTGGTTTGAGAGCTGAGACACACTGCTCCTTCAAGAAGTCCAACTCATTCAAGCAAATGGCCAGGTTTGTTGCAGATTCGTTCACTGCCACGGAGCTGAAACACGGACTTCTGACTACGTACGGCGTACATGTCGTGTAGAGGCGGATTGCTTTGAAGAGAATATCGTTAATTATTGCAGAACCAGCTACTGCTCTGAGTGTAGACAGAAATTTAATAGATTATTATAGCAGTTATTTAAGCGTTTTGTCGTTTAATAAGTATAAAACCCACTCTTTCGTGTAATCTTTCACTGTCAGCTCCTGAGGTTGCTCCGCGAGTTCGTCAGTGTACATGCTCATTTTTAATCAAATTTAAATGAAAATTATTTTGAGTGAAACACGATGAAAGTATCTTTTTGTTTGAGTGACGTTTATAAAAGCGTAATATCGTTTTGAAAACAATTTTTTCTCCGCACATCTCTTGTACTTTGTTCACTGGAATTTTTCTCGGTTTAAAAGTTGTAACGATCGATTTTTAAAGCACAATCCGGTACTAACCCAAGTACTAACCCAGGAAACACTAATTGGCGGACACAAAATGAGTAGTGAAGACTGTGACGCTGAGTTAGTAATTTTACATTTCATTTTTCTCGGATTCAATTATTTATCATCGTTTCTGTCTGTATCACTCTTACCTGCTTAGCTTTTTAATTTTAATCGGTGACATATTTCAAAATTTTAAGAAAACTTTTGAAGTCGATAACGGAATCAAAAGACTACATTTTCTCCAAAACGGCTCAAAGACCCAAAATTGCCATAGTATGTGGATCAGGACTGGGTGGAATAACAGGCATATTGAAGGATCCCGAATTAATCAGCTACAAGGACATTCCAAACTTTCCAATTAGCAGTGGTTAGCTGGTTAATCCACTGGCTAACTTGCTCAATACAAATATAAATTTTTAAAGCACTTTTAATCTTAAATTTCTTAAAGTATAGACATGAAATAAATAATATATTATTCATTTCAAACCCTTAGTCCCGGGTCATGCTGGCAAACTGGTTTTTGGCAAGTTAGGGAACAAAGATGTTGTTTGTATGTCAGGTCGTGTGCATGCTTACGAGGGTCAACCTTTGTGGAAGGTCATGTAAAATTACCTGAATTTTTTTTAGTTCAAGATTTCACTAACTTGCAATTGCTTATCTCTCAGGTTACATTTGCCATGAGAGTGTTTGATAGCATGGGTATAAAAGTGGTCATCCTCACAAATGCTGCTGGTGGTGTTGGAGAAAAAACAAAAGAAGGTGATCTGATCATTTTGAAAGATCATATTAACTTACCCGGATTGTGTGGTTTCAATCCTCTCGTTGGACTCAACGATGAAAGGTTTCAATTAATTTTTTTTCCTAATTATAACTTGAACATTTTAATCCTCACAATCTCATAATGTTACAGATTTGGTGCAAGATTTCAGGAAACCACAGTCTGTTACGACAAAGAGTTGAGAGACATCGCACTTAAAATGGCCAAAGACTGCAAAATGGACTTTGTTTGCGAAGGGGTGTATATTTACCAAGTTGGTCCAACATTTGAAAGTCCCTCAGAGGTTAAATTTTTGAAGTTGATAGGTGGTGACATGGTTGGCATGAGCACAGTGCCTGAAGTTGTAGTGGCTCGCCATCGTGGTATGCGCTGCCTTGGGATATCACTCATTACGAACAAGTGTATTGACGTATTCGACTCTAACAAGAAGCCAAACCATGAAGAAGTTCTAGAGTTGAGCAAGCAGCGATCCTGCGAACTTCAGAAGCTCATCTCCAAAATTGTTGATGCCATATCTCTTGAACAGGCTTCTGCTTGTGGAATTTGAAAGATCACATTCATTTTCTCATCTCAAATTTTCAATGCATTAAATTAAATTGAATGATTCATAATTTGCATGAATGGTTACTACTTTTAGTTACATTTTATCCGATCTTTTACAATTATTTTACTTGATTTGTCATTTTTTCCATATTTGAATTTTTTTAATTTTTATTATGCATAATTTAAAAAAACTTCTTGTTTATTAAAAAGTCTAATCCAGGGCTTGCGTATTTATATACTGATATAGTATAATGTCCATGTACCTACATTTTTATCAATGTTTCTAATTTGACGCAAAATAACACTGATAATCATTATCAAATGCATAATGATCAATTAGGAGGCGGTGGTCTTGGCCTGAGAGGTTGCATGGGGCTTTGAGGTCGAGGAGGCAGTGTTCCTGGCGGTCTTGGTGGCAACCTTGGTGGCAATCCTTGTGCCCCTGGAGGTAGTCTTGGCAATCCTTGTGCCCCTGGAGGTAGTCTTGGCGGCATTCTCTGTGGCATTCCTGGAGGCATTCCTGATACAGGTCTCGACATATTCTGAGCACCAGGTGGCATTCTTGGTGGTCGAGGTGGAGGTCTCATCATACCTGGGGGTCCAGTTGGCATTCTCGGAGGTCCAAGTCTCATTCCTGTTAATGTTTCTGCAGGTCTGACCACTCCAAGAGGCGAAGCAGGTGGCCTCGTAGGAACTTGAGCAACACCTGGGTGAGGATAGTTTGTAGGTAAAACATCCGGACTCAATGGGACACTTGGTGGTAGAGCAGGAACTTCAGGTGTCGTAGCTTTTGTTTGTTTTTGTGATGCGGCTTGTTTCGACGGCCGAACTAATTGTGATACATTTCGTGCCTTGTTTTTTCTTCTCTTGTAGCAGAAATGAAGTAAATGTAGAATCAAGGTAAACGATATTAAAATGCAATAGCACAGGGCCAATGATTTAACAGCATCTTTCCAAAAGGGTACGCCTTCCCAGACATTAATGCCTTGAAAAATTTAAATTTTAATTAGTTAAGCTAGTATGCACTTTTTAACATTTGACGGTTTGATAACTAACTCGCTTGAGCACCAACGCAACTCCAGAAATTCAAAAATAGGAAAAGAACGCTAAACATGAGAGAACGACGATGATGACTTCAAGTGAAAAACGTTGCCAGAGCGATGGTTGGAAAATTATTGATAATTTTTTTTAATAATTTTCATTGAATGTTTGATCAAACAAAAGTAAAAAAGTTTTATGGGTGAACATTTTCCTAATTTTTTCCACTTTGTTTTCCGTTGCAACATGCAAAACTATTATTTTTAGTATTTTTTTAAATTTTTTTAACTAAATCCATCCTCGTTCGCCATTTTGTTAGTGATATTTTTTCTTTCTGTGTTGTTTGCAATTGATTTGAAAAGATGCCGTCTACTGAAGCGAGTTTGGAACAACAAGTTAGTTACTTCCAAAAGAAATTTTGTTTTTTTAAAGGAAAAAATTTACGTAGAGATAATTTTTTGTAGATGGCAAGTTTGGACGTTAGAGGAGGCAGGCAAAGAGGAGGTTACAACAATAATGGAAGTTAGAGAAGACATCTCTGTTTTTTTAATCATTCTTTTTATTAAATTTTGCATTCAAAATATTAAATGAATGTTTCATATTCCGATTGAAGCATCTACATTGACTGGCAGAAACCAGCCCAGATCTGCATACAATGCAAACAATAATGTTTACTATCCACAAGCCTCCTTCTTAGCCTACCCACCACAAGGTTAAAGAAAATGATAAATTATCTTATTTTTTCTTAATAATGTCAACTTTTAAGGAAGTTTTGGATTCAGTCTCTGGCTGATATATAATTTTTATTTCAGGTTCTGCTAATAGGTTTGCATCTGGAATACCTAATAATCAGCAGCAGAAGTTAGTGACAATGCAGGCACCAGCTCAGCAGAGGTTCATGCCACCCCAACAGACACCTCAAATGAATTGTAAGCAGATCAGTAATATGCTACATTTTTATATCATGAACAAAAGAAATGTATTTAAATGCTTAAATGTGTATTTCTTTCTCCAGTGTATAACAATGGAAACAACAAATTTCAAACTATGCCAAGACCTGTACAACCTAATGATTTTAATGTCGGTCGTGGTGGAGGAATGGTCTTCAACAGTAGTAACAATCGTGGGGCAAGGTACGTTTATATCAACTTTTATCAGCATTTATTATCCCAGAACTTTAACCATTCAGTTTTACATTTGAATTTTTACTTTTTAGCACCAAATTTAGAAATTTGTTCATTTTTTATGTAAATGTTATGTTTATTTAAATTTTAGTATATGACGCTAAAACTTTCTTGTATTTTTAATTAAAACTTTTCTTTTTAATATTTAGCGGACATTTTTTGATTGATGAATTTTTATACAGAGGAGGTATTCGTGGATGGAGTGCTGACAGGGAGGTGCCTGATCTTATAAGGGGTGGTCAAACGAGCCAGTGGAATGGAAACATGCGAGGGCCCTTGTTGAATTCATTCAATAGCAACAACAACAAACCATACATGAAGTAACAGCAAAATATTTTTCATTTTTGTTCTTTCAACTTTTGTTATATGTAGGTATAAAATTTCTTATAAAATTTAATTTTGAAGCTCACACTTGGACAACGCATCTGGGGACGCAGCATACAACTACCACCCCCCATACAGCATGCCCGTGCCAGCAAGGGGGCGAGGAGGGTACGTTGGCGGACGAGTTGGTCTGGGGTACCATCATCATCATCATGACAGCCACCCATACAGTGAAGGTGGACATTTTGATGAGAACAAGGAATGCGATCCGGCTGACTGGACCAAGGCCCTGCCCAGGAATGAAAAATTGGAACAGTTTGTCATTTATTAATTATTCATTCATTCTTCTATTTGTTCACTTTTTCTTTGATGCATATTAAATCATTTATAGTAATTTTCTATGAAATGAGTTGTTTGATGATTAACATCAGGATATTTTTTTTAAATGGTTGCAGTGAACTGTTTGGAGGAGCCCACACTGGCATCAACTTCAGCAAGTACGAGGACATCCCTGTTGAAGCCACCGGCGCTGATTGCCCTCCCCACATCGACAGGGTTAGTAGTTTAGTTAGGTTGCTGTCTAATTTGTATTAATAATTAATTCCTCTGTTGTGCTGATTATTTCAATGTAAGATCAGCTATTTTGTGTAGGTAGGTAGGTAGGTGGGTGAGCAGAAACATAGAAAAAGTTCTCAATTATTAGCAGTTTTTTTTGTCAAGAAATGTAATAGTTGACATGTTAAATAAATATTTCATGAATTGAAATTGATGTTTCAATTATATCATTTTGTGTTAATGGTACTTGAATATCGCATTAATGATTTAGTTTGATGACATCGACTTGGGCGAGATAATCAAGAACAACATAAAGTTAAGTCAGTACGAAAGACCAACACCCATACAGAAGTATGCCATTCCCATCATTGTCAAGAAGAGAGACATCATGGCTTGCGCTCAGACAGGTTTCACATCTTTCTCACAATCATTTCATCGTCAACTGCAACTCTTTTCATTTAAAATTATAAACAATGATGTTTGATGGATGGATGGACGCAGGTTCTGGCAAGACGGCAGCCTTCCTTGTTCCAATCTTGAGTCAGATCTATGCTAATGGACCGTGCAGCAGTGCTTCTAATGGCTCTGTCAGTGTATGTGTACATTCAACTCTAATTTCTCTAGTGTCTATTCTTTCACTTCCTTATTTTTATTTATTCTTTCGTTCGTTCATTCATCCATTTTATTATAAATTGAAAATTAATGCCTAAGTAAAAAAATAAAATATTTGGAAATTTATTTCAATATCTGGCAGTCTCGACCGTACAAGCAGGAGAAGCAGTACCCAATTGCATTGGTCCTGGCCCCTACAAGAGAGCTGGCGAGTCAGATTCATGATGAGGCCAGGAAGGTACATTTTTCATTCATTCAATTTTTCTACTATCTCTCGTTCGTTTGATCACTGTGATGTTTCATTACAGTCTGTTTACACGCTAACTTGTACATGTTTATAGTACATGTACAATTGTACAAGTTGCATATGAGCCGTACATTCATATGATATTTATTCATTTAACTCATCCATAGTTCTCCTATCGTTCGCACGTTCGTGCGTGCATCGTTTACGGAGGAGCAGATATCAATGCACAGATGCAGGATCTACTCAAGGTTAGCTGGCTAGCTTCTTTTTGCTTCATCCTCTTTTCTCTCTCTCTCTCTCCCTCATTTTCTCATTTATTCACCTTCTTCCTCTCAATTATCCAGGGATGTCACTTGTTGGTAGCTACCCCCGGTAGATTGGTCGACATGATTGAGAGAGGAAAGATTGGCATGGATAGAGTCCAGTTAGTTCATCGTTTGTTATTGATTTGCAATGTCGCCATCACAGCATCTATAAATAACACTGTCACTAGTTGTTGCTATGCTGAAGATGGCAAGACATACAATCAAGCATTTATTTTAAATATGATCTATAGTTACATGTTCTAACGTGTAAATATTTAGCCATGTATTTCCTTGATGACTCACACAAATGTATTGATGCATGCAGATACCTAGTGCTGGATGAGGCAGATCGCATGCTGGATATGGGGTTCGAACCGCAGATCCGTCGAATTGTCGAGAAGGACACAATGCCCGCCACAGGAGTTCGACACACACTCATGTTCAGTGCCACATTCCCCAGAGAAATTCAGGCTTGTTGAATTTGCTCATTTTTTTTTGTCTTGTCTTGTCTTTCCATCTGTTTGGTCTTATTAATGCAATATGTTTCGTTCTGTTGCTTAGTGATGTATATATAGTTTAAAAGGTTCTTACAAATGAAATGAAATGAATGAATGAATAAATTAATAAATACACAATTAAACAGATTCTTGCTCGTGACTTCTTGCACAATTACATCTTCCTTGCTGTTGGCAGAGTTGGTAGTACCAGTGAGAACATCACACAGAAGGTTGGTATGGTAGTCTGTCTTTTTCTCTGTCTGTCTGCATTGTTCAATCATTTTGCTTGAAAACATATCTAAAAAATCAAAACGTAATTATATTCGTTTTATTGGTTACAATGCTATAAGTGAATGTGGCATATACTATACTTAAATTTTCTGTTTTATTACTTACATATGTACCTCCTTGTTCAATTTCTCTAATTGACTTCCCAACGTTGCACTGATGAGAAATTTGTGTCTTCACTCTTTAGCTAACTTGCAAGTTGATTCTATATTCGTAACACTGCTTGCTTACATCTATCATATGTAGATTATCATTTATTTAATTGTTCTGCTCTACAATCCAGATGCTTGTAACACTGCTCCAGCTACTTTGCAAAGTTTGAATGATTTGAAAATAAATGTTTATTCAGTAATTGTAGCTTTGTGATTTTTTTGAAGGTGTTGTGGGTTAAATAAATAAAAATAAATGTTTATTCAGTAATTGTAGCTTTGTGATTTTTTTGAAGGTGTTGTGGGTTGAAGAATATGAGAAGAGGGTCGTCCTCCTGGAACTTCTTGCTGCTTCAGGTTTCAAACTTTTGTTCAGTCGTTTGATAATTCACTCATTCTTTGCCTCAAGATATTTGTTAAATTTTTTCCATTTGTTGTCTCAATTTTTTGCTGCCTGTTCTTTCAGTTCAGCCAGTGAAATAACAATATGATGAAATGCTGATTTAATGTTTCTAATGCACTACATCACATTGGCTTGCTCACACGCCTGCACAAATACAAACGTACATTCAAATGTGTGTGCACAGGTCCAAACAACTTGATCCTGATATTTGTGGAAACCAAACAAGGAGCTGACCAGTTGCATGCTTTTCTCTCCATGGAGAACTTTCCAACCAACTCGATACATGGAGACAGATCACAGAGGCAGAGGGAAGAAGCATTGAAAGCATTCAAGACTGGCAAGACTCCTATTCTTGTTGCTACTGCAGTTAGTCGTTGTTTGATCTCTTTGCTGGTCTGGGACAGGCAAGTGTTATATTAAATCTTGTTATTACTGCCACTGGCTGTTCTGTTTTGTAGTTGTGCATGGCAATGATGATAGCAGCATTAACGTTGTTGATGTGGCGTATTGTGGTGTGCTGTAGGTCGCCGCTCGTGGATTGGACATCAGCAATGTGAAGCATGTCATCAATTTTGACCTGCCTGGTTCCATTGAGGAATATGTCCACAGGATTGGAAGGACCGGAAGAGTCGGAAATTTGGGTAAGTTCATCCTTTCTGTGTATGTATGTTTTTGAATTCATTCTTTTTTTGTTTTTAGTTTTATTCTTCTAATATAAAAAGGTAAGGGGAACTTTTTAAACTGTGGATCAGAAGGAAGCAATTGAGGACAGGGTGATGAAATGTTGAACTATTATAACTGGCGTCTTAAGGAAAAGTTGCAGACCCAATCTCACCTGGAAAGAAGTCTTGTCAAAGAACATAAGGGCACTGGACCTGAAACCAGAATAGAGAAGAGGGGGAAGGATGGTTTAATGTGCGGGATCACGTAACAAGGGTTAGGGTTAGGGTTCACGTAACCCTAACCCTAACTTTTTAAACTGGATCAGAGGGAAGCAATTGAGGACAGGGTGATGAAATGTTGAACTATTATAACTGGCGTGTTAAGGAAAAGTTGCAGACCCAATCTCACCTGGAAAGAAGTCTTGTCAAAGAACATAAGGGCACTGGACCTGAAACCAGAATAGAGAAGAGGGGGAAGGATGGTTTAATGTGCGGGATCACGTAACAAGGGCAACTCGGGGCTTTCGTCAACAAACCCTGGGTGTTTCTTTATACGTACATGATGATGATGATATAGTTTTATCAGTTTGGATCATTCATTCATTTTGTGTGATCATGTTATTTGAATACAGGACTGGCAACAAGCTTCTTTAATGAGAAGAATCGAGGCCTGGCGAAGGATCTGCTGGAGCTGCTGTCAGAGGCTCACCAGGAAGTTCCGATCTGGTTGAACGACATGGCCAGCAGGAACTATTACGGAGGGTCCTCTTCAGCGGCTGCCGGTGCTGCTGCTGGCAGTGCTAACAAGAAGCACAGTGCTATCAAGAGGTCTCTTTCTCACTCTTCATCCATCATCTGAAGGATTTTATTTTTCGTATTTGACTAACTCGCGTAGGTCAGGGGTGGGCAAACTTTTTGCTGTGAGGGCCGCATTGAGAACTATTTTACCTTTGAAGGGCCGCGTATGTACTTAAATAGCAAATTTTTTCGCCTCGCGGGGGCCTCAAAAATTGCGACCCGCGGGCCGTAGTTTGCCCATCCCTGACGTAGGTTATCGTCTGTCTGTTTGAATCCATTTGTTGTGGTTGATGTTGTTATTCTACAGTAAATGTATGCAGTTAACTTATTAATAAATTAAATTCGTGTATAGGTTCAATACAGGGTTTGCCTCTCGAGACTACAGGCAGCATCATCAACTTCAACAAACAACGCAGCAACCGCAACTTGCTCGTCCACAGCCCAACTTGGCCACTGCCATCCAGCAGCAGCAGCTACCGCTCACAGCTGCACATCATCCGCAACAACAACAACAACAGCAGGCGCACCAACAAGCAGCGCAAGCACAACTGCCAATCAACAACCATCTCCTCTACAACCAACAACCGACTACTGCCTACGTCTATGGAGGTTTCCACCAGGGTTACTATGGCAACCAGTTTCAGACTGGTCAGTCAGAGTGGTGGGGCCACAAGTAGATGAAGATGAAGGCGAAGAAGAAAGATGATGGTGGTGATGATGGTGATGATTTTTGAGGGGTGGAAGATGAGAGGTGCTGTTGTTGTTTCTGCCATTTGTTAGTCTGCTCTTTCAGTAGAGGGATTGTGTGCATGTGTTTGAGGTTGTGATTGGTTGATTGATCGATCGATTGATTGATTGATTGATTGATTGGTATGTTTACAGATTAAGTACTCGATCAATCAATAGATTGATCGAGAGTTTCAACAGATTTATTTATAGGCTGTTGTTTTATCCATAGGCTCATCGGTGAAATAGTTCGATTCAATTGGCCACATGATTCGTGGCCGATCAACTGCTCGGTTCCTTAAACCATACAAGCAGTTAACTTTACATAACTGGAATATGAAATATAAAGTAAGATGGATGGATGGATGGGCAGATGAATGAATGAATGAATGAATGAAGAAACAAACTCGGTGGGCCCAGCCAACAGACTGATTCACGTGCTTGACGTATTTTTCTTTATTAGTTGTTGTCACCTGTGGGCCGCCACTTATTAACGCTCTTACCTTATATATATATATATATATATATTCTGTCATTATATTATAGTAGTGTTTATTATTATTATTAGTTGTTATATTAAAGATAATAATAATATCATTAGCTAACTTATTGCTTAATCACATATATATATATATATATATATATATATATATATATATGCAAGCAAGTGAGATAAATATATTTATATATGTGTGTGCGCCTGTGTGTATATATATATATATGTTTGTAGATATATATATATATATATATATATATATATATAATATAGAATGCATTATCATCATTAATATGGATTTAAGTTTGTGTCACATCACATTTTTGATGGTGACGACGATGAAGATGCTTTTGTCCTGGCGTCGTTATTGTTATTACTTTTAATATTTCTATTATTATTATTATTATTGTTGTTGTTGTTGTTATTATTTCAAAGAGTTTTTAAATTGAAATTTTCAAGTGTCATATTTGGAAAAGTTTTACGTTCTGATTTGGTTTCGTTGCTGTTTCTTTTCTGTTTCCAACATCATCATTATTATCACCTGGTTTTACTTTTACCGTTCCTGTTATTACATAATAATAATAATATTGCTATTATTATCTCAAAATATTATTGTTATCAAATTCTTCTTCTTTTTAACTTTCACATTGACGGACAAAGAAAGCGAAAGTCAATTGATGATAATTTTTTAAATCTATCACACACTTCGGGTTTTTTATTTTTGTGAGTTAATTAATGTTAATTAATTATTTGCTCCTTGTTAATGTTCATGTCATTAGCATAATTTATTTATTATGCGGAGAAACTTGAAGAAGTCATTAATATTCATTAATATTTGCATGAAATTATGATGAGTCAGTTGCCTCTTGCTGACTACACACGATGGATGGATTGGTCATCATTGTTGTAATTAATGCTTGCCTGTATTTGTGTGTGCGTGTGCGCTTATATAAATATATATATATATATATATATAATGCTGGTGGATTTCAAATATTTACCTAAGCATTTGTTTTAGCTATTTGTTGAATCACTTTCATTCATCTGCACCTCATTCATTTATTCTTTCATTCACTTTTTCATTCATTCATTCACTTTTTCATTCATCCACCTCCTTCTCGTCCCTTCTCTCACTCAGTCGTAGGTTGTGAATGTTTGTTTGCGACGTGCCTGAAATGAATGTGTTGCTCTCAATTTCTTACCGGGCTGTCTCTTCATGCCAGTGAGATGATTATCATCAAAGTTGTTACTGCACTCTATAGTAGGTAATATTATTGAGACTTGTACTAATATTTATCTATCTAGGTCATTTTTTTTGTCCGCCTAGATGGCATCTTTAAAAAGAGAATTATCACTTTAAAGTTGTGTGCACTCCAGTGTACGTACGTAAGTACGTACTTACTTGTGTACACACACAACACATGTCACGCATCTGAATGCAATGTAACCTCTTTATACCACCGCACCTATGTATGTTGTGTCAGTGTGCGTGTCTCCATGCGTATTCGCGTTTATAACACGATCTTAATGAAGGATGGCTGATGGTTGATCATCATGGTGTTCCATCATCATCATCTCAACCATCATCATCATGATGATGTTAACGTATCCGCACTGCTGTCGCCATTCGCCGTATGAGTGTGGTTTGCTATGAAATGGTGTAATATCTATTTCTACTGCACATGTCGGTTTGTCTTTCTTTCTCATTCTTTATTTGTTTCTCTCTCTGTCTCTCCCTCTCTCTCTCCCTCTCTCTCTCCCTCTCTCTCTCTCTCTCTCTCTCTCTCTCTCTCTCTCTCTCTGTGTGTGTGTGTGTGTGTGTGTGTGTGAGTTTTTGATGGATATAAAATGAAGGTAAAAACTTTGTTGCTCGTGTTAATGCTGCACTCATCAGGTATGTAGGTTGGGTGGATATGTAGTTGGTATTATTACTACTATGCTATTATTATTTTTGTTGTAGATCCTCTGGTCATGTGTATAGATGATACAATACAATATTTTTATTTTTCTCCTCAATATGATACAACGTAAATGATAAGAAAGCGAGATGGTTTGTTGAAGAGTTCATTGAGAAATTCATCTAGCACAACCACCTGGAAGAACATAAATCGTCAAAGTTTTACAGAATGTCAATTAAAAATTAGATAAACATTTGTTCTCATGAAAGACAAAAAGAAGCAACTGGAAAAATTAACTGGAAAAATTAAATTTTAAATTTACTTTTTCCAAATTACAACAATTTAACGAAAAAAATTAAAATTAATAACATCTATGATAGCCTTCTTCTTAACTCGCAATTAATTGTCGGCATCAAAGTTATTACCGCTATAATTTTATAATTACTTTTTTGTTATTGTTTCCCTAATTGTTAAAGTTTTGGCTGCCTGTCAAGACGTTACTAACTGATAATGATGGAGATGAAGACGACGACAAGTGTGTGTGTTAGTGTGTGTATGTGTGTTTATAAGATACCATTTACTATCTACTTAGTATAAATATTACAAAATGATGACGATGATGATGGTGGTGGTGGTTTTGGAGAGGAGGTTGAAGCCCTTCTTGCTACTGTGATATTATTGATATAATTCCATAGTTATTATTGCTGCTATTATGATTATTATTATGATTTAATATGATTATTATTATTTATTATGATTATTATTATTTATTATTATACGACGTTAAATTGCACGTGCATTGCAACGGAACTCTACTCTTGTGTGACGTTTTTTATTTTTTAACGATGAAATGTTTTATCAAGTTTTTGTAATTAATGATAATTGAATGAAATACGCTTTTCTTTAGTTTTTCATTTATTCACTCGTTCGTTCACCATTCATTCACTCGTTCGTTCACTCATTCATTCACTCGTTCATTCACTTGTTCATTCACTCATTCATTCATTCATCATTTGCATTGCTGCATTCAATAATATAATTATTGTGTTGAAATAAATTTTCATCATTTGCATCGATTGAATTGTTTTTTGCTTGGTTGAAGAATCATTCAAATAGCGCTATATCGATCATTACCACTCATTAATATTTATTTTCTTATTATTATGTGAAAAATTAACGTATCGAGGTAAGTTGTGTTGCACGTTCACCTGACCAACAGTTTTTATATTTTCATTTTCAAATGGGCAAAATCAGTCGACATCTTGTAATCACGTACGTACGTATGCACTTTATTGTAATGCAACGCTACTCTCACATACAGCTATACGAGCTGTTGTATTTATGTGATGTATATGTGTATACTTGGAACATTGGCTGATTGATTGATTGATTGACAGCTTCATTGATTGACTGCTTGATTGATTGATTGATTGACCGATCGATTTTATCTGCAGTTCGGGAGATGAAACTTTGATTGATTTTAACCTATTGTATTATCAACAACAAGGCAGCTATCACCATAGCAACCTCTTTTAAAAAAAAACATCTACACCATATGTATATGTATATATATATATATATATTTATATATATAATATATATCTCCAAATCTACCAATGTTTTCAGCAGTCGATGGATCTTTATTTTTATTTGCTTGAGGAAAATTATTTGGAATTCATTTTTACATTTTTCTACACGAAGTTTCTAGCGAGTCAAGACTTTTTTCTAAATAACTATGATTGCTTTCATTATTATTATTATTATTATTATTATTATTATTATTAATGTTATTATTATTATTATCGGAAATATTTCTATTAATAACTTCATTAATATTCATGTTCAGAGGGGGGCTTTCAATGAATATTCATGACTTCTTGTGATATTCTAGTGACATGTTTATACTACGAACGAACGAACGAACAGCTTATGATATATCATAACATGGCTGTGTGCAGGCAGCGATTGATTTCGCTGGTGTGATGCAACGGTATGATGCGTTCATTTGACGCCTCAATCGATCGATTCGTTTGCTACTTACTTACCAACGTTATCAAGGAGTTTTATTTAAAATAATTATTAAATGGCTTATTGTTTTTGTTTCTTTTTTTGTAAAGAAAATGAAATATATTTGAAATTCATTAAAATATTTTTAGACCCATCAGAGTATTTCAATTATTGAACATATCGTATTGTTTTTGGACCTGCAAGATGGATTGGTTGAATAATATTTTTGAAAAAATTAAGGTAAGTAATTTATGAGGAAACCTGATAGATTTGTTAATTCGAGTGAATATCCCGCATGGTTGCGGCTGGATTTGTGACTTGCTGTTTGTAGTTGCTGGTTGATGAATAATTGTGGGTGATTAATTCTTCTTTGAATCTTCATATTAATGAGTCGCAGTTTTCAACTGATGCTAATGTTATTTCTGGATGTTAGTGGGAAAGGCAGTGTTTGGTAGATGGGACAGTTTGGTTTATATTGATACGATGGGGTCATATATATTACACCACCAAATAAGATGTCTACACGGATGGCAACGTGTGCCGACATCACGTACGACGCATTAACGGGGCTATATACCCTATGTATGTTGATGGTTGGATTGGAAGCATTGGATTATGATATATGTATGTATGGGACTATAATGTATAGCAATTAGCTTCTACTAGTGAGATAATTAATAAAAGCTTAACATGTCGAATAGGTAAAAATAGGGTGACTATAGCTCAATCCTAGTAATCAGACCTAGTATCTCACCGGACAAATAGTAATTTTTATATTCAGATCATATATATATATATATATATATATATATATATATATATATATATATATATATATAT